AGGGACCACCTGACAGCTGTGGTGATCTGAACGTGGCTCGTAAGCACAGCTGTCAAAGAGGAGAGCCTCCTTCCTCCCTGCAGTGTCTCCTGGGAGGACTGAGAGGGAAGGAGATGGAGGTAAGGAGAGCGTTGCCACCATGGGCCTGGTTGTCTGACAGGTGGCTCGAGGTAAAAATCCTTGAACCATGAGAATCATGTAGGGTTGCTTGCAGTGGCATGTGAACCCAGCTAAAGCCTATTAGCTAGTAAATCTTCAGGCAGAGACTGCAGGTGTTTCTTTAAACAATTCTACAGTGCCCTGAAACCTTTGGGCACTTTATATGAATCAGGCCCAAGAATATTAGACAGCTACGTGTGAGATGACCCATAGCTGTTTGTAAAGCAGGGAGTTGGAATAAACAGGTCCAGTCATACTATATGGATAAATACAGACATAAATTAAGGTTGCTCACACTTCAGAACGGCAACTTCACAACTGATGTAGCAAACAAGCATACCAGCAGATTGGATCTCAATCCTGCCTGCTCCTCCAGGATTCAGACCAGCAGCCTACTTCTAAAAAGAAAGAAAGGGAACAAGAACAAGAAAAAAAAGCAACTTGTGTATTTTATTTCTTCACTCTTTGCCAACTCTTTCTTAATAATAATAATAAAAACTCTTCTCAGAATCGGGTAGAGATGACGCCTGGTGACATCATGAGGCCAGCTAGTCTGATGAAAGCCTTCCTCCCCTCCCTTCTCAGAGCATGATGAGAAATAGGTACTCTATGCTTGGAAGGAATGCAATGAGGCCATTCCTACATAAGTTGCATCTGTTTTCTGCCTGTTATCAATAAACTGTTGTAAACTTTCTGCCTGTTATCAATAAACTTCTTTTACATAATTCTTCAAAAGGTCATGCCCCAATAAACAGATATACCTAATGTGCATGCCCTTTCTTTGTTCTCTTAGTTTACTTCCATAGTAAACAGAAGAAGCCAAGGGAAGAGTAGTATCTCAGTAAGTTCATGCCATCTCATGTTGCTATCATTTGTACTGAGGCTGGAGCTCAGTGGCAGAGCACATAGTTTGCATGCCAAGGGTCCCAAATTCAAGCCATAACATTTCCAGGTAGGGCTAAGAAAACTCCTTCCTGGAACCCTGCAGAGCTACTGCCAGTCCATGTCAGCAACATTGGGCTGGACAGACCAATGGTCTGGCAGAGTATTATGATAACATGTTGCCCAATGTCCAAAAACCCCTTACTGGGCTAAGACTCCTCTCCTGGTGGTTTGGGTTCCCAGAATAAAAGCTACTGCATGTGACAGCTAGCTGTGACACAGCTACCTGGTGAGTAGGGTTCATTAGTTCCACAGAATGTTACCTCTCCCCTTGTCTGCATTCCCTTCTCCCTGCCCAGCTCCCTTGTCCCTGCCCAGTTAGTGACACTGTATGATGACCTATACCAGGAAAGAGACCAGGGGAGTGTGTTCCTGTTGGTGCTTCTGGATCTCTCTGTGTCTTTCAATACACAGTACCCTTCGGACACTGCTGGCTTTGTTGGGAATAGGATATACTGCTTCTAATCCCAATCCAAGGTGCTAGTTTTAATCTATAAAGACCCGCATAGCTTGGAACTACAATACCTGACAGAACATCTCTTCCAACTGCAATGAACCTGAGCACTATAAAAGAGTTCTGGGGCCTGCCCCTGATTGCCACTTCCAAAGGAGACTTGGCTGGTGGCAACAAGAAAAGGATCTTTTCAGAGGCAGCCCTCCAGTTATGGAACAAGCAGTCTTTGAGGCCTGCCTGGAACCAACTGGAATACATTTTTGGTCCCAGGTTAAGACCGTCCTCTGTGACAAGGTGTTTGATTAGGTTTATATTGGGCTTAACAACTCTTATGATTTAATTTGTATAAGTTACTGTAGCTTTTTAAATTTGTTTTTTTACATGTTGTATTGAATGTTTATGATGTGTGTATTTTATATTGTATTTTATCTGCTGTTGCAAACTGTCCAGAGAGCTTCAGCTATTGTGTGGTACAGAAATAACAACAACAACAATAATAACAACAAATGTTTATTTCAAATTAAGTCAAGTTGATTTTAACATGTCTTCTAAATAATAGTAGTGCTGGGGATTCCTTTTTTCCCTTTTTCTTATTTTCTTTAAACAAATATTTAAAATACAAACAAAAACCCCCTTCCATTTAAAATGTGAACATAAAAATTAACATACAATAAAAATTATTACATTACTCCCCACCACCCAGACCAAGGACAAATAAAAGAAAAAAACCTTGAAATACTTCAGGACATTCCCCTCTTCCAAAACTGTAATGATTCTTTTGACTGCTCAAATCCTTTCCCTTTCTTTAAAGCATAGTCAATGAATATACCCCAAATCTCATAAAACTTATTTTTCTTTATGTGCCCTTTTCTCACTTCAACATCACACATTAATTTCTCATTAATAGCTATATTCCAGACTTCTCTATACCAATCAGACAATTGGTAATCGTATTTTATTCTCCAATTCTTTGCTATAATTAGTCTCACTGCAGTTCTTAAATTTATTCTTTGTTTTTCCAACTTCATTATTTTTTATCAAACATCAAAATAATGCAATCTCAGCACATATATCAATATTTTACTGAACTTTTTAAAAAAACCTCTTTCCAAAAGTTTATTATATATTCACATTCCCAACACATATGTAAATATGTACCCACTTCAACACCACATCTCCAGCATAAATTGGGGTATTTGTTATTTATACAATTCAATTTCACTGGGGTTAAATACCACTTGCATAAAATTGTGTAGAATTGTTCCTTTTTTCTTACTGACATACATTTTGGTATCCTCCGTCCAAATATTTTCCCAATCTACCTTACTAATATTTTTTTCTCAAATCCATTTCCCATGTTGCTTTAAGTGCATCATATTGATCCTATTCTTCCAATAATATCTTGGGGTGCTGGGTATTCTTAATACTAGCATATGATTCTGCTTCAAGAGGATTAAATCTCATATTGGTATAATAAAGGCTTTAAAATGAATGTGTGCCATTAAAAAGAACTGGACCTTAGAAATAATTCTGATTAAATGCTCCCTCTGGTGGGTTATAGGAAGTACAGCTTCAGCTGAGAAGCTTACTGTTGCCGCAGTCCCATTTTTGTAATTTTTTTCACACTACTTTAATAAGGCTTCCAAGATGATGATCCTGAGCAATGGATCTACCCAACCCTGATTCTGAAGACCGCTGCTGCCTGTTGGCTAGGCTATGTGTGTGTTTGGCTAAGCTTTTCAGCTAAGGCAGAACTTCTAAGCCCAACCTAGTATTTCTTTAAAATACGAGGTTGGGCTTAGAAGACACAGTGTTAAAGTGCTTCTGGCCCTTTCTGGGGAAGCAGTCTCAGGAAGTGGTGCTTGGAGACTTCGGTACCCTCCCATGGCCACTAGGATGCCTGTCTCCTCTGCTTTTAACATCTACCTGAAACTGTTGGGGAAAATCATTAGGAGGTTTGGGCTGAACTGTCAACGCTTGGAGGAGGATGCTTAGCTTTGTCTCATTTCCATCTACACATCCTGGGGAGACTATTACATTCTTGAACCAGTGTCTGGAAACTGTTTTAGTGTGGCTGTGAGTGAACAAGCTGAGACTTAAGGCAAGTCAGAGATTGGGAAGCCAACTACCCTGGATAGAGCTTTACAACTGCTCTTTCATGGGTTGTACCCCCCCTGAAAGACTCAAGTGTGAAGTCCAGGTGGCTGCAGTGTCCAGGAGCAAGTTTTGCCAACTTAGGCTGGTAAACCAGCTGCAGCTGTATCTGGAGAGGACAGCTCTTGCCTCACGTATATAGCACTAGTGGTGCCCAGGCTAGACTACTGTAAAATACAGTAGATGGGGCTCGATTGAAGATGGTCTGGAAACTTAACTGGTGCAGAATGTGGCCCCTTGAGTAGTGGGAGTGTGTGTGATCAGATTATACAGTTGTACTGTACTGGCTGCATTCCTTACCAGTACATTTCCAAGCCCTGTTGCTTTTGACCCTCAAAGCATTACATGGTTTGGGATCAAATTACTTGAAGGATATCCTGTCACCCTTATCAGCCTGCCCATAACAAGAGAGAACCTCTTCTTGCTAGTCCACCTTTGAGGGCAGTTATTTTCATAAGTATTTAGTCAAAACATTTTACTCTGCTCTTCAGAAAAAAAAGCCTACAAAGATCAGTAAGAACGTAGTCCCTGCCCTTAGACTTACAATCTAAAGGACTCAAGGCAAAAGAGAGAGAAGAAAAAAAGGATTGGGAAGGATAAACAAGAAGCAAAGTCAGATAATAGCACTTTATTAATACAATTAAGACTTGTGGCCCGTTAAACATTATCCAGTGGTATTTTCCATCCAGAGAATACTTGACATTCTTTAAAATATTATAAATAACAAAAGCATCTGATAAAGTGGGCTGCGTTCACGAAGTATATAATGTCATGATAAATATGTTGGTCTCTGAGGTACCACAAGGCACTTCGTTGATGCTTTTGCCGCAACAGACTAACATGGCTACCCTTCCCGAAACAGCTGAGGGGGAAGCAGTGCGACGAGAGGAGCGCAGGAGCCAGGCTGAGCACGCCGCTTCCCTTCAATTCTGCTGGCGCCTGATAAACCAGCTGCTGCCGGGATACGGCTGATCTGCTAAGGGCGGAGATGCGTTTATATCTCTAAGGCAACAGGGGCTACTTCCAAGCACGTTCCGCGGGACCTTCCGCATTGCAAGTGCCACCCTCTTCCCGTCTATCTACGGCGAGGCTTAGAGTACGTCACAATCGCCAAGGGCCGTCGCCCAGCAACGTCCTATTAGCGCCGCGGCTCTGAAGCACCAATAAGAGCTTCTCGCAAAAGTCGTGCAATGACGGCAGCGTTTCGAGCCGGGCCACTCGCCCCTTTAAGCCCCGCCCACCTATTCATTTAATCTCCAGCCCCTCCTCTGTCCGCCCAAAGAACACCACGTCAACAAATGACAATTCACCCGGAAGTTCTTTCTGTCTGTACAAGGTGGAATCCGTCCGCTTCCGGGTTGTCGGTTCCGTTTTTGCCCCCCTTCTCCCTTTAGCCACGCCGCAGGTGAAAGCCGGTTGCGTTTGACTTCCTCACAGGTGAGGCCCTTGTATATCGTCTGCCTCCGCCACGCTTAGGGCTACCTGTGCTTCGTCTTCGCCCTGCTCGCGCCTCATTTCGTCCATTCTCGTTCCCTCTCAGTTCAGCCCTTGACGCTTTCGGTCGAGCCTCCGTCAGGGAGATGTTGCTGAGGGGCTGGCAAGGCCCTGGTGCCTCTGCAGGATTGTCGGCGGTGTTGGTGCTGCTGAATTTGTGTTGGGCTGCCCGCGCCTCGGAGATCACCTTCGAATTGCCAGACAATGCAAAGCAGTGCTTCTATGAGGAGATTGTTCAAGGCACCAAGTGTACCCTGGAATTTCAGGTAAACGCATCATTCCCTCTCCGACGCCACATAGGCAAGATCACGCCCTTGACTGTGTCTGCGCGCGCGCGCCTTAGTTAGACTTGAATGATTGCAGCTGCATGATTTCAGGCGGACAGATAGTAACGTGGATTAAAAATTCCCTGAATCCCGAAAGCAGTCGTTGAAAAGGCAGCATGGAGGGGGGAAGGGCTTCCCTTTTTGTTGCCGTTTAACGCCTTCAGTTAAGCTAGTAAATAAAGCAAGCAGCTGAATGTGTCCCTAAATCTATAAGACTTGCCTGAATGCATGTACTATGTTGAGATAGTGTTGCATCTATAATCTCACAGGTCAGTTCCTCATCATTGTCTCCCAACCCATCCCCTTCCATCACCACTTATTCTGTTTTCTCTTCCACTACAGCATGCTTCTGTTATTGACTATTTATAAGTGAATATTAGAGAACCAGCATGGTGTAGTGGATAAGAGCATGGGACTGGGGCTTAGACGATCTGGGTTCTAGTCCCTGCTCAGCCATGGAGCCAACTGGGTGACTTTGAGCCAGTCACAGACTCAGCCCAACCTACCCTGCAGGGTTGTTGTGGGGATAAAATTGAGAGCCACAGAAGGAGAATGATGTAAGCCACTTTGAGTTCTTTATAAGCAAAACAGTTCTTTGTAAAGCAAATAGATGAAGATATTCTGCTCTAGGAAAAATGATCACCAGTGATTACAAGGGCATCAATCACATGCATTAGTTTAGAGTTGGAGAATCCTTTGGGGGCTGTGTATGCCTCTATGGAAAATGTGGTTATTTACTACTTTTTCTTTGTTACTCATATATAAGTGGTAGTAGTTAGTTCAGCTTTGAAACATGTAGATGTGGTCTATCTTCAAATGCTTGCATTGTGTGCTTTGCAGAGAAAGAATCATACGAAGTCAGTATTACTTTACCTTTTTGTAGTGAAAGGAACATGACACACCACATGCTTGGACTTTAACAACACCGGGCTTTACATGCCTACAAGTGGCATACAACTATTTCATACTGCCCAGTTAAAATCAATTGTGTATAATTCTATAGATCATGGAATGTGTGGTATTATGTTTCTTTTATCATCTGATCCTTTCTGAAAGTTGTGGGGAATGAATTCCAACCATCAACTATTTGCCTTTGTGTGCTACCAAGCAGAATCTTGAAAGAATATTCCTATCCCTGTTTTTGTGGTAGTGTTGTTGCTTAAAGAGGAGGCAGTGTAGGTTCTCTTGCATTAGAATGCAAACCTTGAGGACAGAATGTTGCATTAATCTAGCTATCTCTTCTGTGCAAAATTGCATTGAGACTGGACAGTAATCCTATTTGGATGGTTGAAAATTTATTATATGAGGGTTGCACCATATAGTTCAGTTTCCAACATCATGTTCATTATATAGGTCTCCCTGCAGTGGTAGCTTTGTATGACCTGAGTGTCTGTAGAAAGATGTATAGAAAGAGAACCTACACTTGTCTGAGTTTATGAACACTTTATGTGAGAACTGTGTAGCATGGCCCTTCTCCCAACTTGTATTAATAGGTAAGGGCCTTTTTTAAACTGAATAGGACTTTAGTGCAGCAGAAATAGTAGATAAGGGAGGAGAAATGAACTCTTGACCCCCACCTTCACCAATTAGGTTTTAGTCCAGTGTTCTCATCACAAACATGGAAATGAAATCCTGGATTACTATGTCAAGTATTGTTTTCTCTGAAAGGGTTGTGACTGAAAATTTTAAGAAATAAATTGCTTTGTCACCTAACTTGTATGGTGAATCATCTCATTGTTAATGCAACAGTAGAGCAAGCACTGCTGTTTATGCAATCATGTTGAGCAGTGCCAGTAGCGCGAAGCCACATAGCACTGTCCCATGTAGCAATATCAGATAGTCATGCTACCTCCTTCCTTTTCTACTGCATGAAGTGGGGATCATTCTTCTCCAAATCATATCCCCACCCCCAGTCGGTTTGAGCAATAGTAGAACGTTATGTCCATATAACTAACTCACATAACTGAGATGATATTTCAAGCTATCAGGGTATAGGAGAGCACATTACAGCAGTAAAAAAACAGCTAGTATCTGAAAGGTGATTGCAAAAAAGTAAGAATTCTTGCAGATCTAGGCAGATGGATCTAAAAAACAAGGTGTTCAGTCTCAAATTTAAAAGTATGCAACATTTATGTAGGCCGAATTGCACCATTCATACACAAAAGGAAGGTATTAGCAGACTTGAAGTAAATCTCATGGCCTGCAGAGGTGCCACAAAACAAAATAAATCTTTATGGGAACTGAACATGCTCAAGGGCAACAGGGTACTTACAAACTGGGATTGGGTGGGGGGGAAATGGAAAGGAAAGAGGAAGTGGGAACAGAATGGGGTATGCAATTTATCCCACTTGTGACAAACATGTAATGCAAGTCCTAGTTGTGACAAACTACTGTTTTCTTGTCTTGGAAGAAGATATTAGAAATTTCATAGCCATCTCTGCAAAGACATATTTGATGTCCACTAGCTACTTCTGTGATATGCTGTAGAAGTATTGGTATGAACAGCTGAGTTCTCTATTTGGTGTGTACTTCCTATCATCCTAGACTTCTCTGCTTTGCTCTTCAAATGGCCATTACCAGCCTATCTTTTCAGATTCACTTTGTCCTCTAGATCCCATGCAAGTAACCATCACAATTATCAGATATAAGTGTTATTTGTTATTCTAGCCCACACTTGATTTCAGTATGAGGTATGAATGAATAACATCCTCAGGAATGAGCTGTTTGTATAGTAGAAGTAGATTCTTTAACAAATGTTTATACCTACAGCCACTGTTGTCTTTGAAAGTTACAAAAGCACCAAGAAAATAGCAAAGTTTAACCAAAACATTTAGAGCTTGCTAGTCCTTACCAAAATATTTTACAACACATTTTATTAGATACTTTCCTTTCCCTGTTTTCTATCTCTACTAAATCTGTTAGGTAAACTTTAGAAACTAAATCCACTTTGTATGGAACCTTTTGCAAGTTTTCTTCCAAGTTGAATTTGTTTTGTGTATGAGAATTGTGTGCACCTCTTTTTATTCAAGTTTGATAGGATTCACATCACGCTGTAAAACTAACTCTTCAGCACATTATTCTTAATGTATGGCTAGTGTAATGCTACAAATTATAATAGATTTGATTTAGAACAACAGGAGCATTCCCTGAGTGGAGTTCCACTTGGGGAGCACATCTGCCAGTTGTAAAGGTGAAGGCAACTTTTTCCGATCCCTCCCTCTAGCCAGTTCTGCCCTCTTGAAAATCTGGCCTACACCTTCTGGAGGATGGAAGCCATTGCGGGGGAGGAAGGAACTGGAAGAAGTACAGCTTTTTGGATCCCTCTACTAAATCAAATGCCTTCCATAGATGGAGGAAGCCATTCTATTTTAGAACACATGGTCTGGACCCAGTTCCTTGGGTTTGACTGTACTTTTATTCATAGTGGTATTGTAAGTACAAGTGCACAGAACCAGAACATTGGGGATCTCTCAATTTGTCCTATCAAGACTCATGATTTTAGGAAAGAAAAAAGTTTAACTATAAAGTTTTAATCTATTTTCTGTACTTTAATTTAGCAAAAATAAGAGTGGCAAGTCTTGTGTGAACCATTAATATATGTATATCTGTTTTATAAGGCCCTTTAAGTAAAGGCAAGATTTGCATTTGTTTATAGGGAGAGAGAGGATAGAAGCTGTAACCTTCATCTCATCTCATCTAATACTTAGCCCCTGCATTTGGATTTTCCTGGCAGTTTTCCCCTGCTTTTCTCAGTTATAGTTGGGCTAGATACTTCTATCATGAAAATGTAAAGTCTGAAATATAGTAATAACTGAACAAATGTTATAGGTTTCTTTATAACCTATAGGGAACTAAACCTGATTTCCATGCTGGAACTGACTTTAGCAACAGTGTGCTACATTGACAATAGTTTATCTATTTGTTTGGTAATGTTGTTTGCTTATTCCTTAGGAATGGTATACCACTGACTACTCTTCCAAATACTACTTTTCTTTGTTCCTCAGGTGATCACTGGTGGACACTATGATGTTGATTGCCGCTTAGAAGATCCAGATGGCATAGTGTTATACAAAGAAATGAAGAAACAGTACGATAGTTTTACCTTTACAGCTTCCAGAAATGGAACATACAAATTTTGTTTCAGCAATGAGTTTTCTACCTTCACACACAAGACAGTGTACTTCGACTTCCAGGTTGGAGATGATCCACCTTTGTTTCCTAGTGAAAATAGAGTCACTGCACTTACTCAGGTACAGTTGCTTCTCAAGAGAATTTGATTAAACCATAGCATCCAATTTGACCATAGAAATACTGAGACCAGGTTATAGTTCTTCACAGCTGCTATCCATTTTCCTGTATCTAGAGCTGGTTGCATGAAGCTCATCAGTTGATCATAAAATGGTATCTACATTTGCAGCCATTACCATGAACCATGGTATCCTTCAGGGGTGACTGTCTGAGGTGGGAGTGCGGGGCACTGCATTGCAGTGGTTCCATTCCTACTTGGATGGCTGCAGAAGGTGGTACTTGGGGAACAGAGCTCTGCCCCTCTTTTTGGCACCAGGTAAAGACTGTCCCCTACTGCAGGGCATTCAAATAGTTTCTGGGGTCTGCTAGCTACTAACAGGCCTGAATATTTTTTTCTTTTCTTCTTCAAGTTATAATACACACATGTCCCTGTTTAATATGTGGTTTTAAATTTTGTATTGCAAACTTTTAATGATGTTTTAATACATTTTTATACAATGTATCTTTTACTGTTTTTTTAATGTGTTTTGTGAGCCATCTGGAGAGCTTCACTTTTGGTTGGTATGGAAATTAAATAAAAGGGGGTGACGAAATGCCACATTTTATCTGCATAGCTAAGGACTTCTGTACTAGGCATGCAGACTGCTGATTGGCATTGTTTTGGCAATTCACCAGGAAATCTTAGTTTTTAACTCTGTTGCCAGTATCAAATTCCATATCCTTTTTGACAAAATGCAGAGATATGTCTAATAGATGACAGGGCTGGAAATGGAGGTGTCCATTCCTTGGGGAGGCAGTGAAAGCTTTAGATGACTGTTCCAGTTGGATGGTTCCATAATTGCCCTGTGGAAAGAAATCAAGGAGAGAAGGAAACACTAAAAGGCAACATTAGATTCTCGCTCCAGCTTAGCTAGCTTGTGTGTATGACTTTTAAAAAGTGTATGGCCTTTAATGTAGCTCTTGCCATTTATGAATGGTATACAATTTACCATTCACACCAATGGAACAGCTTTTGTTGGTGGAAGGAGGGAGCAATTCTGCCTCACCATTCACTCTCGGCTCTCTCTGAACTGTCAAACCCCTCCTTGCAGGATTGGGAGAGGGTCCTGTGGAGTGAAGTTTGAGAGTGTGACGATTCTGTGTGGCAGGAGGAGAGAAGGAAAGTCCCCTTCTATCTCCTGTGACACTCATGATCTTGCATTTTGGAATGTTGTGATGTTGGAATGTTAGCCACTTTGAGGGCTTCATTCCAAAGTTACTAAGGGTACAATCCTGCCTATGTTAGACAGAAAAGCATCCTACAGCTGCCAGAGGTCAGCTGAGGAATAGTAAAAGGTATAGGACTTTCTTCTGTGGAAACATGCATAGGGCTGTGCTTTTAATAAATACTGTAACTATTTAAGTTAATAACTAATATCAAGGTCATAATTAAATGCACAAATATACTAACTGAAAATGCACAGTTATGTATAAATACAGACTTTAAGCTTTTAACAGAGCACAAATTCGAATATGGGTTTTATTGCATTTAGGAAGATGGCCGTAGTATTGGTGACAGCCCTGAAACATACAAGAAAAGTGTGATCAAGTAGACAGACATTGCTGCCGAATGGTCCCATGTCTTAGTGGTATTCAGTAAATGTTTTCAGTTCACAAAATAGTAAACCTGCCTATATCCTAGAAAGGAGCATGTAGAGTTATATTCTTTATATATTTTTCTTTCTCAAGAGTCTTCCCATTACAAAATCAAAAGCTTTGTACATAATTTAGATGAGGGGATTGCATAATTATAGTGAAAATTGATTAGACTTGAATAAGTAAAAATGTGTAAAAGATACTAAACAAAAGCAAAAAAAAAATCATTATTCAGTAAAGACCTACTCATCAGTTTTCTCTCTTTTTGTATCTAGATGGAGTCAGCATGTGTTTCAATTCATGAAGCTCTAAAATCTGTCATTGATTACCAGACTCATTTTCGGTTGAGAGAAGCACAAGGACGCAGCAGAGCAGAAGACTTAAACACACGGGTGGCTTATTGGTCAATAGGAGAAGCCATCATTCTTCTTGTAGTTAGTATTGGGCAGGTATTTCTTCTCAAAAGCTTCTTCTCAGACAAAAGAACCACCACGACTCGTGTTGGATCATAACTCATGTTGAGAAAATGCTTCAAATTCACTGTTTGTTTAGAAAAAATACTGTTCTTCAAATAATTTCTAGTTACAGAACAATTAAATATGGGGAACATTTTAAGTACCTTTACCCTTCCCCCTCCACTTAAGTTGCAAAGTACATCTTCCCCAAAAGCTGTGACAAAAGGCAGCTTTTTATTTGTGTTATGTGGGGTTTTTTTCCTTCTGTTTATATCTGCTGAGTGATCTAACTAACTTTTTTAACTAATAAGACTATTTGGTAGGAACATAGTGCTTTAAAGAAAACCCTTTGGATTTTTATTTGGAAGATTGTCCATATGAAAAATGGGAACAATCTGATTTCTCAAATTTGGAAGGTATAAGAATAAAACAGAAGCTAATGTGATTAATTGTAGTCTCAGAGCCTTATACTGCACTGTTCTGGTTTGCAAGGAAAATTCTATTTTCTTGTAAAAAAGGCTTCTTGGCGAGGGGGCTTTTATTTTATAGTATATACTGAAATTTGGGGGCAACCAATTCTCTGTACATTAAACAGGTTTGTGATTCATTGCATTTTTCTTTTTAAATCAGACAAGTGGGGAGAATGTCTGGTAGTTCTTGAAACCGAGTCTTTGAGCTTATGGTGCTGTCGCTTTGAAGAACTGAAAGATCATCAGTAACATGCTATTTAAGAATTAGATTCTAAAGTCAGTCATTCTCACTTGAAGTCAATAGGATTAAGCTAAAGTGCACTGGGTTAAATAACATGCGACTCAAAGCCAATATTACAGTCCCTTTATTTGGGTGGTCCTATAGGATGACATTAATATAAGTGGTTTAAGGGTTGTCATTTAAATTACTGGCTTACTAAGCAACACGTATACAGATGCTGAACACAGTGGAATAACATCCTTGAATGTGTTACATCTGCCTATTAAAGAGTCTCAATTAATTGTTGGAAAAATTCATTATTCGCGACTAGCAACAATTGAGCAATGGTTGCTTTGTGCTGACTGCTACCATTTTTGGACTGGAGGGTCACTTTTATAGTGCATCACACACTTTGGGATATGTGAGTTTGCTTGCCATATGGCTGGTATTCTTTTGCCTAATAGATAATACCTTGTATATTCTTGTAGGCATGTGTGTGATCTTTCACATTCTAATGTAGTTCAAAGCAATCAGAGTGAACTTAGCACTACCACTGTAATTATAAAGTACATTTATTTGAAAGTATACTTCATTGATTTAAGCAGAACTTGATCCCAAATATGTATGTTTTTCATTTGAGAACATGGCTTGTCAAAATGGAAAAAGATAGAAGTTGCAGTGATTGTAGGTATATGAATACCACTATGCTAGAAGGTTTACATTCACAAAAATTTGAATGATCCTCTTATGCAAAGTTGACTGCTGTCCCGCTGTTAAAAATATATATACATTACAGTTTCCTTTATGTTAGTGCTGTATATATAACCTAGACTATTTTCATGAATTTAAATGCTGGTGTAGTGTCAAAAAGAGGCTGTAATGTGCTCCAACACCGAGTGGCTCAACTTCTAAACTTATAATAGAGTACAATCATAAGCCTATTTAGACAGAAAAAAGTCATTCAGCCCTCAGTCTCCAATATTTTTTCTGTCTAAACAAGCGTTGGATTGAGTGCTTTGTTTGGTTAGGTTTTGCATCTCTTAAAAATGCATCACCACATAATGTGAGGGTTTGACTTTTTAAAACATACTGCACTAATGTAACTTAGGGACATTAGACTACACAGCTGTATCAGTTAAAACCTTGCAGCAATGACTTGGTTCTTGAACCTGCATAAAGAAAACTTCTTGACTGTACTTGACCATTTCTTCAAAAACTCCAGTGCATGCTATTCATGAGGGCATGTGTAGTTAAGACAGTTAAAAACAAAAACAGCTAACACTGAAATACAGTGATTGCTATATCCTCCATTCCTGTTAGTGAGGTAATGAAGGTTGACAGAAGCAGTGCTTGGAGAATTTGGTAATAAATTTGGGAAATTTCGCAAAAGCATATCGATTCAGAATAAAGTTTTATATTACTTGTAAATAGGTCAGTTGAGAGCTGCTTTTTTTAGTCCACAATTTTGGATTTGTGGCGCCCTTGCTATGTTTCTGTGATGGGTGACTGTAGATAACCAGTAGCCATCTGAAAGCATTGTACCTATAATAGCACGAAGGAGGAAGTATTCTATAGTCTCTAGCCATGCAGCTAAGTTGGCATCTCTGGATTTCCAAGGAGCAGTGGAGAACTGTTTGTAGCCAGTGTCACCATGTGGTCAGAGTCAACACATGACTGTGTCCCAATAAACTTAAAGGTATAATTTGCCAAATGTTGAAGTGACTACCAAGTCAATTTCTCAATCTAGTTATAATAGATGTCAATGTGTGTGCATTTTATTTGTGTTTTTTTTTCTTCCAGAATCCCATAGTGATTAAGGTATAATGGGGCTGTATGATTTGATTTTTTCAGTGCAGGGTTTGTGGCATTGTCTTAAACCAGCTATATTTCATCGAAATCATCTTGGGCCTTGGTGCATAATATGCAGTGAGGGTTTTACAATGCTGTTATTACACATGATATTAATTTCAAGGTAGCCACATATGCTTTAAGCATACATTATTTGATTAGTAGTAGCAACCAAACAGTTTTGGAAATTTCTGTAGAGACAATTGATTTGTAACTGTTTAAACTGTTTTCACACATCTAAATTTGAAGTACAGCTCAACTGTACTATGATACCAGGTTTTAAAAATTTGATTTGCTTGAAGTCTGCATATGTGTATCATGATGTAAAGTGTCCAGTTTTTGATAACTTGCATAGTTTTGTTGTTAGTTTCAATAAGACAAAGCTGGCCCTGTGAAAATGATATGGGATAATAAAATTTAATATAAGGTTCTGCTGGAGTGGCTCCTTATTTATGGATTTAGTGCAGTCTATTAATGTTCTCCAAAAGAGGAGGTGGTGGCAGAGGTTAGAGATTTGGGGTTATATTTTTCCTTTAGGATTGTCCTTTCTCTCATTTTAGAATTGTGGTGCAATCCTATGCAAGTTTGGACAGAAAAATGGCTTACAGTCTAGGCATTCTCCAACCAGCATGGCTGTCTAAGCGTGCATAGGAGTGTACCCTTAAAGACTGGAAATGGGTCTGTGTATGCTAACATGTTGCAATGTATGGCTGTGAAAGCTGGACATAAGGAAGTCTGAGCGCCTAAAGATTGAGGCCTTTGAATTGTGGTGCTGGAGGAGACTCCTGCGAGTCCCTTGGACCACAAGGCGATCAAACCGATCAGTCCTAGAGGAGATCAACCCTGACTGCTCTTTAAAAGGCCAGATACTGAAGATGAAACTCAAATACTTTGGCCACCTAATGAGACGGAAGGAATCACTGGAGAAGAGCCTAATGCTGGGAACAATAGATGGCAAAAGAAGAAGGGTATGGCAGAGAATGAGGTGGCTAGATGGAGTCACTGAAGCAGTCGGTGTGAGCTTAAGTGGACTCTGGGGGATGGTGGAGGACAGGAAGGCCTGGAGGAATGTTGTCCATGGGGTCGCGATGGGTCGGACACGACTTCGCGGCTAACAACAATAACAATGCTAACATGAAAGACATGAAACTTTACTTAGTGAGATTTACTTCCAAGAATTGTAAACAGGCTGAAATTCTAAGTTAACTGCTGATTTAAAAGCTGGGACTCATTGAATTCTTAAAGCTAAATGTTATTTCAAATGATGCATTAGGCCAATATTACTGCTAAAATTATATATGAAATCTTGATTAAAACACTTATATTTTCCATGATACTTATTCAATAACATGTTACATTCCTTAATTTCTAAGCAGAACAGTGAAAGAACCAAAATAACTGCAGAGAGAAGTATTTCTAATAGAAGTAAGAAACATCATCAAATATTCTTTTAAAGCCAAAATCAGTAGGATTTACAAAATGTAGTTTATCTAAAAATGTATCAGTGAGGTGGCATTTTAGATTCAATCATGCCTGAGCCTGGGAGAATTAGGATATAATTTGTCAAATAGCAGTTACCCCATCCCCAACCTCCCTGCATACTAAATTGCATTTTTACTAATCTGAAACCATGTAGGAATATAAGAGCCTTGCAGTATCAAAATCTCCAACATACTCTGTTCTGATTTACAGTACAAACATACTGTATATGTCTGTTCGGAAATAAACCCCATTACATTCAGTACTCCTAGGTAAGTATGTGATTGCAAGTTTAACCTCCCATCAACTTATCCACTGGCCATCGCCATGTCTTGTGGCAGCAAATTCATAAGGTAGTTAGGTATTAAGTGCAGAAATATTTTTCTTCTGTCTGTGTTGAATCTCCTGCCAACAAGTCTTTTTGGCTTGTTCTAATATGAGACACAGAAAAACTTTACTTTCTCCACACAAGTAGTTGAAAAAGTGTGACCTTTCAGCTGTTGTTGAACTACAACTCCCATAATCTCTCACCAATAGCCAGGCTGATGGCAGCTGGAATCAGCAATGTTTAGAGGTCTATGAGTTCCTTACCTCTGCTACACAATACTCTTCATTTTATGAATCCCTATCATATCTATCTCACAAGTTGGCATACCTGCCCCTTTTATAAACTAAAAACTCTTAAATGCTTCTGCCTTTCCTCACTGTGAAAATGTTCCAGGCTTTTGATTTTTCTAGGGATTCCTAGAATGAAATTGACTTTTTCCATCTGCTGCCACACTTTTTTTTTCTTTGAGCATCCAACACAATTCCAAAACTTCTTTCCTGGTTAGTTCAAACCTCATATATACAGGTGTATTTGTAAAATTAAAAGATTTTTGCCACATTCAATCAATATATTCAAACGCTTATTTTGAACCCTAACAGCCAAATGGTTCCTTAATGGAATATAGTCATTTTAAATTTTAGGCTGAATATATGGTTTAATGACATTTCATTTTTTATTAGAGACCTCTGTTTAATTATAGTAGCTCCCATTATTGCAAACGAGGCAGTATTCAGTGGTTGATTTTTTAAAAAAACTGACTACAATCTTAAGATGACAAGGCAAAACCCTGAGGAAAGGGGAAGAGATTTAGGTATAAAAGGAAGAAGAACATTTATGTAGCAAAGTTTATGCAATGGAAACTCCATCTGTTGTCTTCTGTAAATCACATGACTAACATTCTAAAAATAGATTGCAAGTAATACATTTTCTTAGCTAAGAAAAGTCTTGGGTGATAGGGACTCTAGTCACCTTAAAATACTACCTAAAAATTATTCTTATGGTATGATAGTTTCAGGAAAAGAAATTCAACCAGTGAATGTCATAAATGGAAACATACAAATAGAGAAAAGTTGTTGATGAACAAGCTTGGGGTTTGGTAGTAGATGTACAAATAATTAACTTTCTAGAGTTAAGGCACTGTTATAAACTCTAACCTAACTTAACCTAAAATACCCTAATAGTGGCTTCTAGAAATGGTAATAAGGGCCATGTTCCCTGTTTGTAGAAATAAACAACCAATTAACTGATACTGAAGTTTAGAAACAGGGAATGGAAACTAGCATCTTGCCCTGTATGTGAACTTTTTTGCTTGCACTGTGTGAAGCTGAATGTTCAGTGGCCTATTGGCAGTGCTTTTTTGTCATAGAATGCACCAGAACGGAGTTCCGGCACCTTTTTTTGACAGATTTTTCAAGTTTTAAAAGTAACTTTTGAAAATTTGATGTTTAGTCCACGTGGATTTGAATCGCCCTGTCGAGCGTAGCAGGTCGGTGGCAAAATCATTAAAACGGTGCATGCGGGCTGCTTGTGTGTCAGGTCCGATGCATGCGTACTTCGTCCGAGCTGGTTGTGATTGGTCGTGTGGTCGCGTGCTGAGTGCTTGCTGCGGGCGGTGACCATTATGTTTCGTTACACAACTGATGTGTGTGGGTCTGTGTATAGTGATTGACTATGTGCAAAAGGTAAATAATTTCATGAGTTCTGGCACCGTTTTTCTTACCAAAAAAGCACTGCCTATTGGTCTGATCCAGCAGCTCCAGTCTTCACATTTTCATAACTTAGGATGTAATCCTTGACTTGTTTAGGCAGAAAAAGGCCTGCAACTCCCAGCATTCACCTGGAAGTTGTAGAATTTCTTTCCTATTTAAACATGCATAAGATTCTGCCCTTACTGAGTTTGTCAGTACTGTCCCTTTTGGGGCCAATGGCCACCTTTGGAATTTGGGGTTCCCTGGGTGCTCTCACAGAATTGCTGCCATAGCAGGATTTGTCAATTCACAACATGACTACTGTACTGTGGTGGGTGTGGCCAGTCATGAAACAGCCATTTCCCATTTTAATAAGGACAAGAGCAACTTACCTAAGAATATTAAGTACATTGTGGAAAGAACATCTGAGCACTGAAACAGAAAACTACTCTTTAAAATCCTTAGTTACTCCTGCAGTGCCCATTTCACAGAAGGCAAATTAATGAGGCTCATTGACCAAGAAAGTGCAAGGCAGCGGTCAGGTCTGAGCCCCATTTGCAAATCACATATTTGTCACCACAAAGCACAACAAAATAGCCATTTCATAGAAGACAAGCCAGTGATGAACAGAGAAATACATACCACACCAAAAACCCAGGCAAACTCCCCACCCCAGTCTCTCTGTTCCTCCTGTAGATGCTCCCTATCACTCCCAACTTACCTGTTCTGGGTGGCTGGGCATGCTTTAAAACAAAGTGTGGACCACAGCACATCTGCCACTTTACTTTTGTATGGATCTGGGGCTCAGAGTCATTTTGGAGAATGAAGTTAGTGCTCTAGCACTTCACTTTACAGCATACCAGGCTCTCAATTTAATTTCTTAAAAATTAAAACCATACTGGACAGGGAGTTTAGCAGGCTCAGGATAGAAAATGGACAATTTGCCTTACTATTGATGTTTCCGAAGAAATCCAGGTACTTTTTCAACACACATTGAAGATGGCTAGCGGAGGTATTTTGCTGTGGGACTCCAACGTTTTGAATCCCTTTGATACATTTTGGGGGGATTTTATATCGTTGTGCTTTTATTTCATAGGCGGCTACTTTAAGCATTGAGGGTGAGAGGGAGGCAGGGCAAAACAGTTCTAGACTGCAATCAGTTTCTGGAGGCAAGGATGGGGTTTGGGGTTGTTTGTAGGGCGGTGCGGGAGGACGATTGGCTTGGATCTTAAGACTAAAAAGGATTTACAGTGCAATCCCATGCACGCTTACTCAGATGCAAGTCCCACTAGGCTTTAATGGAATAGTGGGCGTGTTTGCAACAGCAAGGACTCAGGTCTGAATTAGGACTGTAGGATTTACAAGAGAAATGGCTCCTCTAGAGACAGCGACGGGTCGCTTGCAGAGCAGGGCTGCAGAAGTGGGCTTCTCTTAGCCAGCTCAGAGGGGCTCCTTTTGAGCAGCTTGTGGGCTTCTAGAGTCGGTGGAAGAAGAAAGAAGCTGTCGATGGAAATCCCAAACATCGTCATCCTCCGCCCCGCTTCTGCTTCTTGTTTCTTGTTCGCGCCAGGATATCCTCTCGTCAGCGCCTCCAGTTCCGCAAAGGGCCAGCGGGGAGCGGAGCGCTGCCGAGGAGCCCCGCCGGGGCTTTAGCGTCTCCTCCGCCGGTACATCAGGTGAGTCCTGCTGCTTAGCGCCCTGACCCACCCCCGAGGGCATCAGCACCCAAATTCTTCCAGGGTGTTACCCTCCTCTTGCCGGCGCGAAGTCCCACCGCGGGAGCGCCTTGCGCGGCCAGCCTCCTCTTCCCAGCCCGACGGCTCAGGGCGTTTCAGGCTGACCCATGCCAGCGGGGTAGCCCGGCGAGGCCTGTTAAGGCCTCCTCCCACCGCCCAAAGAGGCTTGTGTCACCTTAAGGAGAATGCTCCAGAACACCTGTTTGGTTGTGTTTAGGACCTTTCTTATCTTGGTTTGTGCTAATTCTGAGGGTCTCCCTCCCTTTAACCCCACAACAACCCTGTGAGGTAGTTTAAATAGGCGAGGGGGGCCCCATGAGCTTCCTAATTTAGTGGGGATCCAAACTACGCAACCTTCTACCAGTCCCAGCAATTCTGTTAGCCCTGTTAAAAGACAATCCAGTGCATATTTAAACAGGAAAAAAAGATCTACAGTTGGGTTTTAAATGGTGGACTGTGCCAAAGCTCTACATAGGTAGCTGAATATAGAACTGCTGGCTTTTTTTTATTATTCCCACTGTTGCCCTTGATATCTCTTGAGGGTGGTCATAAATCTAGAGAAACCATCTCCACCAAAGATGCAGGAGAGGGAGGTTTTCCCAGTGTAATAATTCTGGGATATGGAATCTCTGGAAGCCTGAACATGATGTATGTGCCTACAATTCATGTTAAGTTTTTTTAAATTTTCAAGATCAATTTATATGTAGAAATGTATGTAGAAAAGCCTATAGTGGCGCAAAGTGATGAAAGCCTCTGGGATTTATTATTCAGAGAAAAAAATGAAAGTATTTTTTCAGTATAGTTAGACTACTTGTCAGGCCAAAATGTCTGTGAAGCATCTGGAAGAAGTTCCAGCTTGTGAAGAAGGGTTTGGGTTTCTGCACTGGATTTGTGATACTTTGGTCACAGTGTAATACTTGTTTGGACTGATTTTTAGTGGTAGAGAATAAGAGGAATTTGATTTTCTTTAATAAAAAGGTCAGTGTTTTGTTCCAGAAGATTTTTGTGATGGTGTTTAATGTTGATGTAGTAAATTGGTGTTTGGACATTGCTATGATACAGAAAGAGAAATTAAAAATATGTTTTTAGCCTAATAGATCAGAGAATTGTGGCTCCCTTTCTAATTTATAGATCTCTTCCTACATGAACAAGCACTATACACAAATACAAAATATATTCCCCACACCTTTTGTACATGAGTTTTAGAAAAAGTCTCCAAGAAATCAGACACACCAGGTACAATAACATAGAAACACATTTTTCTTTTACAAGTCCCTCAAACATCAGGCCTGAGGCAGCTTTCTGTGTAATTCAGAAGCCTGCACTTTTGACTCCTTATGGCCTAAGCAAAAGCTATTGTTTTTCTTTTCCTTTTTTTCCCTTTTGCCAGATTAACATGACTGGAACAACTATGGAATTTAGCTATGGAACAGCTGTGAAATTTAGTAGAATGACCTAACTTAAGTTTTGATGTGCCCGTTCCCTTTCTCATTGAGAGGATAGAAATTAATACATATTTCGATGAAGCTGGGATATCCTCATACAACATGTGAGCCAGAACATCTAGTACTTCTTGTTAGTATTGCCAATCTTCAGGTGGGTAGGTGTTGGTCAATCAAATAAACTGTATAAAATCAGGAATTACTTGGTGCTTATATTTTTCCGTTTTATAGTCCCATCTCCTGGGCAGGATCTAAAGAAAAACTCTTAAATTTGTATCCCATCTTTCCGAAAAGCACGATCTCCTTGCTGCATCCATTTCTTTTCATGACAACCTTGTGAGAAACTTTAACTGGCTTAGGTCACCCAGTTTTATGGTTGGGTGAACATTTGAACTGGGGTTTCCCCTGCTGTAGTCTGACTTTCTAAACACTACACCATGGTGGCTGGTTATGAAACTAAAGTTATGAGTCTAATAAGGTTTTAGTCTTTTTTAAACTTTAGCAGAGATCCATTCTTTCATAAATCATGAATTCCCATGATTTAGCAGGTAATTGTCATTTATAGTCACCACAGACCTTGACACTTCTCTAAGTTCTCTGTTGTCTATTGAGTGTCTAGCAGGAAGAGGATATTTTTCACTTTTGTGAGAAGACTTTGAATAAAGAAGGAATCCCTTGCAGGGCAGGCCATGAGGGGGACATTCAGCAGAGTCAAAGATACTGCCATACTACGGAGCAATGAACTTCAGTTCCCTGCTTGCATGGGAAATAGACTTTGAAACTGAGGGAAGTTCTGGAAGCAGCTGTGATACAGTTTAAAGCTCAGTTATTGAAAGAAAAAGTCAGACATTTCAGTGGGAGTTTCTGATCTCAACCTAAAGGCCCATTACTATATCTAAAACAGTAGTTTCTGTAACTTTAGTCAGAATAATTTCTGTAACTAGTCATAAATTCCAGAAATGTAATAGGTGCAGCTTTTTTTTCCACATGGAGCTGCAATGCTTTTAGTGGCAGAATTGTAGATATGCTGAAATTTCATACTCTCTCCCAGCTTTCCTCAGTTTGATGCCCTTCTAATGTGTTAGACTACGTCTCCCATTCCCCTCAAATGTGGGGATTACCAGGTTGGGGATGGCTGCCTGATCATTAGAATCTCATAACTTACTTAGGTTTCTAAACCTTCATCAGATACTGCCAACATGCTTCTTTTCTTTAATTTTAGCTGAGGTTCTTGTGGTTCCAAATCCAGCACATGATACTAGAGCACAGTGGTTTTGTGGGTCAATCACAAAGACTTGCAATGTGTTCATAATCCAGCTATGAGTTTTGATTCATATTAAATCTAGGCTTCTGTGATGTTTGGGATGCATGGGATTACACCTATATATTCAATTTCTTTTCTCTTGAAAGATGTCTATAACCCTTTAAGGTCAAAAAAGGGCTGAACTCTAGCCCAGTCTTCCCCAAACTGGTTGCCTCCAGAGGTGTTTGGACCACAGTTCCCAGAATTCCCATACATCTGGGCCATTGACTGAGAATTGACTGGAGGATTCCACTGAGGAAGAGGAAGGCAGGGAGGAGGTTAGCAGCGATGTGATAGAATCCATTATGAAAAAATGGAATGAGTGCCAGGATTTCTTTGAGAAGCACCACCCCAACATAACTGTAACGAACAGAGTGTTGAATCTGATGAACGATAACATGGTCTCTCATTTCCGGAGGGTTTTGCAGCACAGGAAAAAAAAGTGACTATAGACAGATTTTTCACCAACATTGACCCTGCAGCTAAGAGACAAAGAAGAGAGGAATCCCCTGAAAGAGATCTCCCCAATGTCCTTATGGAGGGGGACTCTCCCTCAAAACAATAACCTCCCCCGCAGCTAGGTTAGTGTTCTCCACTGTACTGCACAGTACCCTTTGTTACTTTGTTGTTCTTTGTCACTTTGTTTCACATTTTTCTGATTAAAAAAAATAGTTACAGAATTGATTAACCTTATTTACACTGAATCTTATGGGGAAATTTGACTTGGCTCGCAACCAAAAATTGGCTCACAACCACATTCGGAGGGGCCAAAATGGATTGACCTTATTTACATTGAATCTTATGGGGAAATTTGACTTGGGTCACAACCAATTTGGGTCACAACCAGAGTCGTGGAACGGATTAAGTTCATGAGCCAAGGTACCACTGCGATGGGGAAAATGACATTTCAAGCCAAAATATCAAATTTAACTTGTTCACAAGCTAAATCTGACCATTGTAGGACTGTGTAGCAGCTCTGTAGCCTACTCTTATTCTAGACAAACAAGTCTTTGTGTTACCAGTCAGAAGACATTATACAGCTTTTCTGTCTTTTGGACAGGAAAAGAAGATGGAAGAAGCCATGGGAAACCACAGAAGGACTGCAAATGAAAAATGATGTCTGATCTCCTGTACTTCAAGATTCCACGTATGAGCCAGGGTGATTACACAGTAAAAGCCTAATGTGAAAGCACCCCTTGACTGTGATCAAAGGCAAGCAAACATCACTTTCAGTCTCTAGTTGTCTGATTGTATTTCAAGTGCGGTATTGGCTGTTAATTCTTGAGAAATGTCTGGGTCCATGTCTGCCTATAATTTGCATTTTCTGGCTGGGTAACCTAGCCTTTTAATGCCCACTCTGTGTTGAGTGAAATGTGATTAATTACTGATGGGGAATTCTAATCTGCTTATATTTAGAAAGTTACTTTTCCTGTATTTCTGGTAGAGAAAGTCAGTTCTGTGACCTAGTTTGGGCCAGGTTCTGGTTGCAGTTAGAAATGGTATAACAAGTGCATGTCTAATTAGGTATATAAGACAGCATGTATAGTATCCCCATGCCAGGAGGGGGTGCTGTTCCCACAAAAATAAAACAGCCACATCCTGCACCTGCACTTTTATGTGAAGAAGTTTAGATCATACAAAAAAGCTAATGCCCCCACTGGAGAGCTTTATTGTATGCAGGGTGTTTTTTATTACTGATTCTAGGTGCCTTAAGGAAGGTTGTGTCAAAGTGATGACTCCAGCATCACAACAGGCTGATATAAGAACCAGAGAAGCCTTTAGAGCAGGGATGTTGAACCTTTTTAAGCCTCAGGGCCCAAATCAATTTTGAAGAAACTCTTGGAGTTTGGGGGCAAAGTTAAAAGTGGCAGGACCAAAACTACTAGCATATTTTAGTTTAAGACTCTTAATGCCAGTTGCTAAGTCTTAGGAGAAGCATTTCAAATTTTTTAGAATAAAGAAATACTTCATAGGATAAAGGGTGTGGAGCTGTGGAAAGTAGGCACAATCAGAAAAGCTAACAATTTGTGGGGGAGTTTTCTCACCAGTATTCCAGAGTACATAGAAATGGAAAAATCTAAACACAGACTTAACTAGGGGCCTTTTCAGGTGAGTGACGTGGTTTCCATAGTACTGATTTCTCCATCTTTTTGAGAAATTATTTGTCGAAATAATATATCTTAATACTTTGAATAGTTTCCTATTTTGTCTCATATACCCTTGTGGCATCCTGTCAATGGGAGCTGACCCACCCAGTGTTAATGGAATTAGGCAGATTTTACTTTCACGACCAAAGTGTCTTCCCACTTTTCCGTATGAGTAAATGATAACAATGTGAAAGATTGCACATAGCTTGTCTCAGTTATCCATTCAAGGGGAAACTGCAGCCAAGAAATTCAAAGAAGACTGAGACTTTGAAGGACAACAATGAAGGAACTAAAAAGATGAAGTGTAAAGATGTTTTATGGAGATCAAGGTCAAGATCATCCAAACAGTTGTATTCCAAATCATCATATGTGGGTGTGAAAGCTCGACAGTGAAGAAAGCTGACAAGAAGAAAATCAATGCATTTGAAACATGGTGCTTGAGGAGGGCTTTGCAAATACACTAGAATGACAGAGAGACAAACAAGTGGGTTCTAGATCAAATCAAGCGAGAGCTTTCCCTAGAAACAAAAATGACAATACTGAGGCTGGAAATGACTTGACAAGATGTAACACATATAAATGCTAGCAATGAGCTCAGCCAGTGTGATGTAGTGGTTAAGAGAACGGAACTGGGACAGACAATCTGGGTTCTAGTCCCTATTCAGTCATGGAGTCAACTGGGTGACTTTGGGCCAGTCACACACTCTCAGCCCAACCTACCCTGCAGGGTGGTTGTTGTGGGAATAAACCTGAGAGCAGCAGGAGGAGAATGATGCAAGCTGCTACAAGTTCTTTATAAAAAGAAAAGGCAGGATATGAATCTAAGAAATAAATATGAGAGAAAGTAAATGGTACAGTTTGGCAGATTGAAATGAAGGTAAAACTGGTCCTCCTATCCCCGAAAGTTATGGAGCAAGCCAGTGAAGTCATTTGATAGTTGAGTTGGCCCCAGATTCTATTTATATAGTGCCCCATATCAAAGACACTTTCCAAAGTACTGTCATAAAGGTGGAATAGCCATCCCCTACATACTGCAAAACATTGATATGTTTTTCCAAAGATTTTGAATTGGAAAATGATCCTATGCAAGTTAGCTTAATTTTCATAGGGTAAATTATTTTGGACATTTTCATTTTACACTGGAAAATTTTCTGCCTTACAGAATGATCTCATTTTGCTTGTTTGGTTTAATTATTTAGTAAACAACAAAGCTAAAACTAATACCCATTTTTTGTCCTAATATACAACAAGCATTGGAACAGAAGTATTTGATGAAAAAGCACGCTAAAGGTACAATCCTATGGCCTCCTGATGTAGCCTGGCAGACCATAGGATTTTTGGAAGACTGACCCCATGACCCACCCTGCTCCTTTATAGCTAACATGGGAAGAAATGTTGTAACTGAGGGAGAAAAGGGGGCCTGCTGGGGGATAGTGTGTGGAGAAGTCTGGGCCCATGGAGTTGGGCCATTTCAAATTGGTGCCCCTGCCCTCCCTCCCTCCCTCCCTCTCCCTTGTGCTAAATCTCGACAGCTAAAATCAGATGTCTAGGTAAAGTGCAGGGTGCAAATTGCCGCAGCAGTGGAGATCAGTGCTGATGCACCTCACGTTTTGCACTGGATGCCCAGAAGCCTCTGTGTGCTGAGATGGAGGCACATCTGCTGCAGGGAAGATTGAACTATGCCCCCTCACATAATGTAGGTGTTATATCAGGATTCTTCAAAATGTAAATATAATAACATAAAGAGGGGGGTGTTTCATAGGAATGGATTTATTGATGTGTTGGCTTTTGGAATGTAGTGGATGGGCTGTGTAGGTTGTGATGGAGGAAGGTAAATGAACAAGCTGTTTGATTGAGGATACTGTGTAACGGTTGGTACTTGATTTGTTGGAATGTGTTAGTTGATGTTGGTTGTGGATAAGGATTGGTAACTTGGTTTGAAGGTTGGTTTGTATGACTGGAAGGTGGGTTTGTTTTGTCCTTGATCTGTTTCAGTCTTCTTTTGTGTTCTTTTGTTTTGTTGTTTTGTGATTGGTAGTGTTATTGTACTCACCTTTAACATCACATTCTGCTGTGAGTCTGAATGATGGTGCTCCAGTCCCAGTGATTTTGTGTAGAGGGAGATATGGCATTGTGGGTTGGACAGGCCTGTGTAGAAGATAAGGAGACAGACAGCTTGTTCCTGCCCTCTCCTCTGGCCTTTCCCCCAGCCAGAGGATGCCTGGTGACCATGCCAGCCTGCCTTCGGAACTGATGGTGCTGTTGCTTAATGCCAGGTCAACCCACAATAAAACCTTACTGATACATGATCTAATAGTGGATCGGGGCCTGGCCTGGCCTGTATAAGCAAGACTTTGGTGGACAAAATGATTATTGGGTTTGGGGCAGAAACTGCCTTGGTCCCCTGTGGGATGACCTCTGCTGGGAGAGAGATGGGGGAATGCAACCCTATTGTTCTCCTGGATCTCAGTGGCTTTTGATACCATCCACCTTGGTATCCTTCTGGAGAGGCTGGCCAGATGTGAGTTGGGGGCAGTGCTCTGCAGCGGTTCTGCTCCTATCTGGCCGACCATCTCCAGAGTGTGGTGCTGGGGGACCTTTGCTCTGCACTATGGCCTTTGTGCCATGGAGTTTCACAGGGCTCCATTTTGTTCCCCATGCTCTTAATATTTATATGAAGCTGCTGGGTGAGGTCAGGAGGTTTGGGCTGAAGTGCTGATAACACACAGCTCTACCTCTCCTTTTCATCTAATCCAGGTGAAGCAGCGACTGCTCTGAACCAGTGTCTGAGCTTGCTAAGGGACTGGATGTGGGCCAATTATCTGAAGCTCAGTCCAGATAAATTGGAGGTGCTGTTGGTCGGAAGTCTGTCTGTTCAACTGGGGAGTTTTCAACCTGTCCTGGATGGACTTGTGCTCTCCCTAAAGGACAAGGTTCACAGCCTTGGAGTGCTCCTGGATCCCAGGTTGTCACTTGTTGCTCAGGTGGACTCAGTATCTAGGAGTGTGTTCTATCAAGCTTCAGCTGATTTATCAGCTGTGTCCCTGCTTGAATGCGCAGAGCCTTGCCACAGTTATTCTTGTGCTGGTAATCTCCTGCTTGGATTAGAACAATGCACGCTGCGTGAGGTTGCCTTTGAAGACGGACTGGACCTTGCGATTTGTTCAAAATTGGGCAGCACACCTGCTAACAAGGACCGACACGCGTGAGCACATCACACTGGTCCTGCCCAGGCCCAATTTGAAGTGCTTGTAATAACATATAAGGTCTTAAATGGACTGGGGCCAGGCTATCTGAGGGAGCACCTTTTTCCATACTTACAGTCCTGATTTTGTTTGCGAATTATGTTGCATTATTAGATTGCTTTATATCCCTCTCTCAGCTTATCAGTTCATTATCAATTAGCTATTTATCTTATATATTTAATTTATTTTATTAGTTTTTATTACTATTTTTAATTGATATTATTGTTTTTAATTGTATTGTTGGTTTTATGGTGTTTGCTTGTATGCAAGCTGCCCAGAGAGCCTCTGGCTAATTCGGAGGCATATAAATCAAATAAATAATATTTTAAAAAGCAGAAAATAGTATCACACTAATAAATGTTACCAATCAAAAGAACTGTGCAGGATATGCTGACAACTGCTTATCCACAGCTTTGAAACTAGAAAGCTTGCCTGAGACTGTATTTGCAATCAATATCTATTCATTGTTATTAACAAACTTATCACATTAAAAATCTAACACAGAAAACCAGATGGAAACATTTTCACCCTGTGTTGTAGATGCAAAAACTGTTGTTGCAGTGTTAGTTTCAAAAACATGCCCTGCAGGGTGTCTGTGTATATGCATGTTGCCCATTACCTTCATATTCAAAGGCTGGCTTGAAGGCTTTTGTAGTCAAATTATCTCTATTTTCAGAAAAATGCTTTATATGTGGATAAAGCTATCTACATCAAGCCAGGCCATTGGTCCATCGAGCCCAATGCTGTTTACCCGTGACTTTCCAAGGTCTCAAGCAGGGGTCATTTCCAGCAACTGCTACCTGCCATGAGTAGAAGCTGGGACCTTCTGAAATATGAGGCATATGCTTGGACCCTTTTTATAGGAGAGACTTCATTATCAATTCACCTGTTTCAAATAACTTGGAATTTGCTGAGGAGTTCATAGCAACTATGCCACATGGAGTGTGATAAGAGTTATTGCATAAGATAAAGCCTTTGTTTGCTGAATGCATGTGAATTCACAGTATGCAGTCTGGGGAATGTAGTCTCTTCAGAACACTGAGGTCGAGTCTTTCTTGTGTGCTTGTGTGAGAGAGACTGAGATCAACTCTTAAATCTATCCCCTTTTTGTTCCTTGCTGCAGCATCACATGCTTAGCTACAATTTACTTTTCACTCTTGCCTTTACAACTCTTTTATAGCTTCTGCTCTCTCCTTCCCTGCTTCTGTTGTCCTAGATATCTTGATTCACATGATCTCAAGATAACTCTGGATGCATTTTGTGATTATTAAAAATTTTACATTTTCCCCAGTTTATTTTTCATTTTCTTTTTGTTTTATAGACTGGAAGAATGGGGATGCTTCATTTCTTTTAGAAGTGGGCATTTTACCATAATGGGAACGGGTATCTCCAAAATAATGTCAACTTTGACTCAGCGGAATAGTATGAAGTACAACTCTACATGTAAAGGGCAGAAAAACTTCAAGAGGAAGCCCGCATTGTGTGAACTGTCACTGGACACAGAAACTACTTGCCCTATCCAAGAAAACATAAACATCCAAGAAACTCAAAACAGTGATGAGGAGGCTGAGGATATATTTTACAGGTTTGTGATTCTTCATGCTGATGATGATGTTGCAGAAGCTGTTAGAGTCCAGGACTTGCTGGAAAATCGATTTTGTATTAAACCAGGGATTATCTTTGCAGAAATGCCTAGTGGTAGACATCTGCTTGAAAATTTAAATGATGCTATGAATGGTTCTGCATGGATAATTATCTTGCTGACCGAAAACTTCCTGAGTGAACTTTGGTGCCAATTTCAGTCATATACCTCTCTGTTTGGTGCATTGACTATTCCACACAAATGTAGCATGGTCATACCAATGAGGCCACGGAATAACCCACTTCCATGGGAGAGGACTCCTTTAATTCTCCAGGCAATTAATGCACTCCAGGAAGATAGCCCTGGATTTGCTGAGCAAGTCAAGAAAACTTTCCAGGAGTCTAGATACAAGCAACAGCAAGCAGTATGGAGGTACAGCAAGAAGGGAAAGGCACAGAAACAGTCCGAATGGTGATTGTATAGAGTTTCAGTCAAGTCAAAGGTACTTTATTGGAGCAAGTGGTCTATGATATCCATGTCTATCCTGGTTGCATCAAACAACTGATGGGGAGAGAATTTATTCTTCAGATGGTGCTTCTTACGTTTACATTCCAGTAGTCAGCTTTCTATTTTGTCCTTCCATCTTGATAGCTGGAAGCACTGACTCCATTAAAGCCCCAGAACCAAAGTTCATAACTTGGCACAGCAGATGGGCCTGGCATCTCCAGTTAAATGATACTGGCTAGAAGGGCTGGAAAGACTTCTTTCTGATCCCTTGAGAAATCCCTGCCAATCAGCAGAGAGAGTACCTGACCAGATGGACCAATTGTCTGGCTTGGCATAAAGCAGCTTCTGCTAGAGCAAGACATTTTTTCCCCTCAGAGATAAAGGACATTTGAAGAGAGATCAGTGTTCAGGCTATGTAAACTCCTACTTCCATCTCTCATAAACAGGTTTTGTAGAGTTTTGTATTGCTTCAGGAACCTGAAAACCCTGCTCAACCTGATGCACATGTCCCTGTATGCCAGTCTTCCCTCATCTGAATGTGTTGAATTATAACTCTTATCACACCCAGTTGGTGGGGATGGTGGAACTGGTAGCCCAACACATCTCTTAAAATATTTTCTGCCCCCATCCTTCTGACGAGGTCTGCCATGGCCTTAATCTCTGTTCATCTATATTGCATTGCCCAGATCCCTTGAAAGTTCACAATAGCAAATTTGTGTCTGGTCTTCCAACATTTGAGAAGTTTACTGTGCTACTAGATTAGAACTGAGTCTAAGCTGCTAAACACTTTTGTTGGAAGTGCTCTGTTCTCCCTTTCATTAATAATTATTACATAATTATTCAGTGCAATAATGAACCTCTGTTTGGCTCCGACTGGCTCTATCACTTCTGGGATGCTCTGTTGGAACAGCTGAGCTACAAACCATTTTTTGAAGGAACACAGTGGTGTTGTAAAGTTCTATGAAGTTTTGAAATATAGGCAGTTTCATGTGTTCTGTGAAGCTGAAATGGTAGCAAGTGAAGAGTCATTCAGTTAAAAGCTTGTCGGCAGCTTCCTTTCATTTCTTACATAATGGTGTGTTGAGCAAAGTCATCAAGATCTCTGATAACGACTATGGCTACTTCATGGAAAAACTCTGTTTATTCACTAAGATTATCCTCTGGGGCATTTGAAAAGAGCCTCCAAGTTACAGCTGCAACTCAAATCAAATAACCATTTGTCTGTGAGTAATGGTAACAAGAGTTGCCTGGTCCTTTCCCTCTGGTCTTTCTTCAGCACCCAAGGTACTGATATCTGACAATAAATCAAGGTTATACTGCAACTGCTCTTTGCTTTCTTCAATCGCTGCAGATTGCTTCTCCCCACACACCCCTGGTGGGAACAGGGAAAAGATCTTCCCTTTCTTCTTTTTATACAGCCAGGATATTAAAAAAGGACTTATCGGCAGGGGCTCTTCTGTCAAAGGCCTTGCTGCAACATGATCTTACCCACAGGAATATTAAATGGGTGGCACATTGACCCATTACAGTGAAGGGCGTTACTACCCATGACTGTATCAACCCTGGTCTGATATCTTGAACTGCCTGCTGGAGTGGTGTGGTCAATTCATTTCTCTCTATTCTTCTACCTCAGGCAGGCATCATTGTACTAGCTCCTGAGCAGATATCTAGCAATCTTGTTACTTCAACATATGTAAAAACTAAAGCTAGAGGTTCTAGTCACTACAGCTTGAGTTGATTAATCAGCAAGGTCAACTTTACCTGGTGACGCTATACGTAAGAACATAGCTGTTTGAGATTATTTTGTTTCTGGTATGTTACTGTAAGGAGTGAGGAAAATGATGACCTTTCCTTTTAACATTATGTGCTAGATGTTATATATTAAACTGTAAATATACTCTCCCATACTTTAAAAAGGTAGAAGCTTGGTTAATATGCATGCTTAATCTTGGGACTTTTAATACTTGAATACCCCTTGAAACTGAAGCTTTACCGTTTTTATTTATTATGTAGTTTTATTGTGTTTATTATGCTGTTTTACTGTTTTATTTGGAATGGATTGCATTTTACTGATATTTGCAAATTGCCTTAGGTAAAATCTGCTAAAAGAAATGAGTGTAATATTGTAATACATAACATGCAGTTTAAATAAATGTGTGTAATAAACTAATAGCAGTCATCAAAAGTTAATTGTCTAAATAAATTGTATTCATTTGACAGTCCTAGAGAAGATGCCCTTCTTGTGAAGCTCATAAATGTCAGAGCTTGCTTCCCAATCCTTCTATGTGGTTGCTATGTGCCATCAAGTTGTCTCCGACTTACGGTGACCCTGTAAATGAAAGGCCTCCAGAAAGTCCTGTCCATGACCAGTCCTTCTATATTGCACTTGAAACTGAGGCACGCCTAGAATAACTTTGGCTATCCTGTTTCCCTGTAGTAGCACCTGACAAGGTGGGGCAGGCAGTGGTAAGTGGCTGTAACTTCTGAGCAGCTATCAACAGGGATGTATGTCTTTCTTAGTAGATTAGGCAGTGCAAGTGGGAGAAGCAGGTATACAGCTGTTAAATGGTTAGCAGCACAGGGCAGTAACGCCACTGACCTGGGCTCAGTCACCATTTCCATGACAGTTCTTTATAGTACTGCCACCATGTATGGAGAAACTGCCCTTTCACTGGGTGATACCACCTACAAGGTTCCTTATTTTTAGCAAATGCCTAACTTTTACGACCGAAGGAACTCTCTGCCATTATAATTCAGAGTTCCACAAGCCAACCCCTTTCTACTGCCACCGATTCTCTTAGATTACTTTCAAGCCTCCTAGTAACCTAGCTTATTAAATGATTTTTTTGTATATAAGGGGATACTATCTATATCAGGTCTTTCAAAAGACTGCTTGCGGATAATTCTTAAGAACGCACAAATTAGTATTATTTATACAAGGGTCTTAGGACGTAAGCCTGTGGCCACTGGATATTGTTTAGGGAGCCATAGGGAAATTCAGAACCCCAAGTCCAACCTCTGAAAACACTTCATGTTTGAAGCTGGGGTGCCAAACTTGGTTCACGCTCCCTCTGCCCTCTGGCCAGTGCAGGTCTTTGTGTGCTGCCTACTGTCCAAAGCTGCAAGTGCAACTTCAGAGCCGGTGCTGGAGGGGGCAGAAAAGGAAGGAATGATGGGATACGTAGAATCCTGGCAGTCCCTCAGCCACTGCTGTTTGCAAATGCGTGAAACACTTTGATGGCTATGATCAGTTGTCTAAATGTTTTGCAGGGTGAGAGAAACACAGAGGCAAGAACTGGTTCCTCCATTGGATGCCTGAGATACTCTCGAGTTCAGAAGGTTAGGGGCAGTGACATTAGATGCACCCTTAATGACCTCAGGCTGAGTGCTCTAAACTTTTACCCCAGCCAAATACACTCGCCCAGCTCCAGCTCCTGGGTATAGTCTTGCTCTACCTCCAAGGCTCTTGTATTCCTGGGTGCTGTCTGGGTCTGAATGGCAGCTTGTGTAACCTGGAAATATCTTAGGGCAGTTCTTGGCAATCATGTTGTAAGCCGCCCCGAGGTTTCGGCAAGGGGCGGCATAGAAATGTTATAATAATAATAATAATAATATAATAATAACACAGCCACCTGCTCCTGAACTTAGAATCAGAACAGTAGAGCTGAATGGGGCCTGTTAGATCATTGAGTCAAACCCCAGTCAATGCAGGACTCCTATGTTAAAGCATCTCTGACAGATGGCTGTCCAAATACCTCTTGAATGCTTCTAGTGTGGAAGAGCCCATGCCCTTAGGTAATTGGTCCCATTGCTGTATTGTTCGAACAGGAAGTTTTTCCTGATGTCCAGCTGGAATCTGGCTTCCTGTAACTTAAGCCAATTATTCCATGTCTTGCACTTTGAGAAGAGATCCTGACACTCCTCCATTTGTAGGAGTTGACTGATCATTCTGGGGGATGCATTACTATTTTTCAGGAAATGCTCACACTATTTCATCACTGAAAGCCTGCAAACCTGCCCTGTACCATCATTCCTCTAATTTTCTTTCATGGCAAGTTGAAACAGTTCTAGTCAACAGTCAACGCAAGCCACACACCCACCCCCCAGCATCTGCCAGTTAAGTATCTTTGAAAAGGGGGCCTACACGTATTAAGCCCTATGCATGCAGGCTCTCCACCCAACTGTGCATCTATTTGGTCAGGAATATGATGGTTGATTATTTTTTGTGTTGCTGTTTCAATGTCAACTGTATGGGATTATTCTTCTCCTGCTGTTGCACATCAAAGATGGGAATTTGCTCAGCCCAGTGGGAACCAGAGAAAAAGCAACACAGCAGAAAGGGTTACACCTCTATTATGCAGAGAGTATATTGTGCTGAAGACTGTTGCTGAAAAAAGGGGGTGCTGTTAACAGTAACAGGCGCTGGCTGGCAGATGATCAGCAGAACAAGTTGTTCTTGCTCTGAGAAGCAGCAATGAATGCCCAGCATACCACTGGGGTTGCCTGCTTGGATAAAGTCTGGTTTGCCCTGTTAGGAAAGAAAGCCTTTTATGTGCATATTGTGGCCAGCACAGTGAAAAAAGCTTCCTATGCAGATTGTTTTCAAAATAAGACACACTTAACCTTTAAAAATATTAGGGGGAAAAACAACATGTTGCATTGGTAAAGAAAGAGGACTATAAATAGGATGACTGCTCTGCAGTTCATGGCAAGACTTTCAAAGCAGTGGGCAAGAACAGCCGACAGCCTGCAGAAACTGATATGTGGGTCTGCATTCTGCAAAACATGTATACTATGTCTCTAGGTTGTATCCAGAATTCATTCTACACAGAATAAACCCACTGAGAAGCATGGAATTTACAGTGGATTGCTATGAGAGTGCTTCAGAGTAAAATTAAGTGTAGATGAGAGATATCTAAACAGGTGAATCTATGATTTAATGATATCTATTTCATACTACCAGTGCTTTTCCTGGCAAGAAGTTCAATAAGGTGTATAACAATATAGTTTATACCAAACTGTAGTTTAGACTCCATTTGTGCACACATTTACTTTAGATTTACAGACCTTCTACATGCCTTAACTACTCCTTCAGAATTCTCACTGAGTAAGAAAAAAATGAGATGGAATGCATCCTGAATAATTTGCTGAACACTCATCTCTTTCCAGGAGGGTCCATCTGTTCACCATGGAAAAGAGATCTGCTGCAAAAAACAGAACTGAGATGATTACATGATCCCTCCTGGTTGTGGAAGTATGCATAAAGCATGTAGTTCTATATATCCTTGGACACATGTGTTGTATTGGTCTTGTTTCTTCAGGTGGCAGTGTGGGTCTCAGGCGATCTGGATCTAGTTCCTGCTTGACCATGGAGCCAACTGGTGACTTTGTGCCAGTCACAGCCTCTCACCCCAACCTACCTCACAGGGTTATTGTTGTGGGGATAAGACTGAGAGCTGCAGGAGCAGAATGGTGTAAGCCGCTTTGAGTTCTTTGTAAGAAAAAAGGCAGGTTATAAATCTAATAGATAAAAGTTACAGTGCAGACTACAAATTCTTGTCTATGGATTTTTTGTAAAAAGAATTATAAAAACACAACAAGGAAGCCTTCTTTGTGACTAAGTTTTGAAAAATAGTTTGTGAATAGCCTTTTATCAACCACACTTTAGGGGGGAAAAGCAAATATTCTCAACCACCTTGTACAGCATCAAAACTGCATGGTAAGTGGGTTAATGAAACTATTTCTAATCTCCAGCATTCCCTAGTGGGGATATTAATATATCTGTCCTCTTTGTCTCTTCATAGAAATTGTATAACAATTTTTTCCTTACAGTTAGATTAAAATATTTAAAAGATAAGTCTTCTTCTGCCAGCAACTTTGCAGTTGTGTTTTGAGAGAGATAAGTTCTCAGTATCTATTATAAACTACACCAGTATTTTGAACAAACAATTGTGGAATGTGCCTCTGCCTGATTTCTACAGAGCAGAGCCACTTAATATTAAAGAGCCAAATGCTGTCACACATTCCAAGTGAACGGAAAACTTGTTTGGCCTTTCCCAAGGCTATATAGGAAGAGGACTCCCTTCCTTGAGTCATCTTTATTTGCAAACTGCTCTTGCTTGCATTTCTGGTTTCATGCTACAAATGCCTGTGTTAATTTGCTTGGAGACAAGAGCACATGACGCACAATGAATGTGTTATGCACAGCAATCATCTCCATCGTCCAGCAGATGTTACGCCATGCATAAGGATGAGTAGGCAATGGGGTTCAGTCTGCAAAAACACCAGACTTGATGGCCAGGCATTGGCTTTCTTCATGAAGAAACTATTCCATGGTAGGCCAGCTGCCGGCCACTGTTCATGCTCATTTACATATAAGTCTGTGACAAAGAGAAACCAAGCAGGTTTTGTTCTGACAGTCCTGGTGGTGCAGCTTGCCTGTGATGCCTCTGCTTCCACAATGCAGCAGCTATTTATTTTTATATATTATCAAGTTTAAAGTCTGCTTTGCAATAAAAAACATAAACATAAAATACACAAACTATGAGTAAAAAATCCATGCATGGAAGAAAGGGAGGGAAGGAGGGAAAAAAGCAGTGGACAGAAATAATAGGGGCCTGTACAATTCATACACTGGGAGGGAAGCCAAATCTTGGTGTCTGTCTTTCTGACAAGAACATAAACTCTCCTGAATGAGAGCTGCCAGTTCTATTTGAATGGACAGGAGCTTGCAGCAATCAAAAAGTTCACTCTGTGTGTGTGTGTGTGTGTGTGTGTGTGCGCGCGCGCGCGTGTGCAGAGAGAGAGAGACTTGTGCGAGCTCTTAGCTATACATGACCTGAAACTATTCTTTCATTCAGTTATGCATATTCTCCATGCCCCCTCTTTATCTAAATTGAGCAATTAGCCAAGCTGAATATATTTTAATACTATTAATAAATTAACAGAACAAGCTCCTTAATCTAGTTAATTCCTCTTCCTGGCATTCTTTTCAATTAGTTTTTATCTTTCAAATACCCAAGTTCACAAAACGTACTCCGAATTCTAGCTTGTGTTGCTAGCTACATCCTGAGTCTGGAGATAGCCAAGACTGGGTGCAGTGCCACCTAATCCTCTCCAACTTCTGTTCAGCAGCAGTGGAGCTCAGGAGGACGAAGGGGCAGGGACAGGGCGGGAGACCCATGACCACATCCTACTTTTGTGCTTAAGGGCCAGTGTGAGAAGCTCACAACTGGAACTGTTGCCCAGACCTTTCTGATGAGGAAAAGACACTTCCAAAGGGAGTGCTCTGGAGTGGATAAGTGGGAGCCAAGAAGTGGTTGCTTTACTCTTATCCTACATACTGTTTCCCACTCTTGTTGACCTCCCCTCCTGCAGCAGCATTTCCCCAGGGCGTTTCAGATGTGTGTTTGTGCTTATGGATGAGTGGAAAAGCACTTAAACTTTGCACTGTTTACCTACTTTTCACTACCTACTTCACTACAGTTTCAGGATTTCAATATGTGTTTGCCCTGCAAATCTGGGGGAAGAACAACTAGCAGGCAACTTGAAACAGGGAAACACCTCTTATGTCTAAAGTGTGGCTTGGGCCTCAAGCATTTTGGAATATTAGTCTCTGCATGAGGAAAGAAGCCAAAGAAAAGGAAAGCTAAACTGCCCACATAAGGTAGGCGATAGAAGAGCTTTGCTGAAGGGAATTGTCCACATTCCACAAGGGACACATAAGCAGATTGCTCTTTGGAAAGATTTTTTCTTTAGCAGTTGTGAATTGTTTTGTCCTGCATCGAAGAGTCCCAACTATTCTTAACGTGATGCATGTAAACATACACTTTATTGCCTTTTAACCAAAAATCTTCCCAAAGTGGCTTGGAAAAATATTTCTTAAGATAGTCCTTGCCTGCAGGTTTACAATCTAGAACACAAGACACAAAGGGGGATTGGAAAAGAGAGAGAAAATTGCAAATTCAAGCCCAGAATTCTTAGTTGTGATGTTCTACAGGTTGTGTTTACAGCAAAAGGACTGCTGCTTCCTCTCTCTTGGATTGCCTCAACAATGGAGGGTTGCTCAGCAATGACAGTAGGAGGGAGGGGGCTCTGGAAGGAGTGGAATCCAGTGGAGAGGCTCTTGACACACACCAATGGCATTTTTTGCAAGGCATCTTGGTCTCTTTAGTGCTTCCTGGTGCCTTCTAAATTCTGATGTTAGCCTAAGTAACAATTATGGGCCTGTTTGCATGATTCTGACTCTCTAAGTCAATTCATGTGTGCAGTGTTATGTAGTATGAAATAGCAGTGCAAACTAGTATTGCTAGGAGACTGCAGCACATTTAAGCACTGTTGTTTGCAGGAGAGAGCTGCCTTGAGAGACATTAGCTGAAAGGCAGAGTAAAATTTTGGGAAGAAAAATTGTATCTGTCCATCTAATGCCTAGTTACAGTTAAACCCATGTTTCTATAGACTTGCCCAGACTAAAATTTTGCTGTTATATAATTAATTTATCTGCAGTAATAAGGGCTAAGACCCCCTTTCTAAGCTGAAATGGGGATTTTCAGGATTCTAGAAGCTTATGGCTTATCAATAATTAACCTCAGCTCTGTACAGACTGGCATCCTGCTCCAATAAAGGCTATCAAATACCATCGACATGACACGTGAAGCCACAGTGGCTTAGTCTGTTGTCCAAACCCATAATCAAGGCCTGTAGGGTTTTGCAGCTATCCCTCAGTTTGCAGAGTCATTTGCACACAGATGGCGCAAACACAGTGAAAGCCCCTAAGCCTACAAAATGGCTTTGTAAAACCAGCAGAAAGGCTTGGTGCTCTCTCCAAGTGATTTTGACAGCAGCTGTCCAAAGTTCCCAAGCTGTACTTGTACAGCTGTCACTGGCTCCCTGGCCTCTGCTGCATGCTGCTGCCACAGAACCTGAAACAGCAGGCAGAGCTGCTGGGCAACAGCTGGAGCTCTCTCCTGTGCCATGCCTGCCATTTTGGTGAGCAGGAAAGAGCAGCGGAGGCTTTCTTCCTCACTCACACTGCCTGCCATTTCAGGTAGAAGCTACATTCTCCTGGTCCCCCTTTCAAGGAAACCCTGGAAACTGTGGCTCAACTCCACACTCCACACCCCACAGGCCGGTGTAGGGAAAGATAGCATATTTCCTGGCCTCCCTGGAGGAAGCTCAGAACTTCCCAACCATTGCAATGCCCATTTCCTGTGCAAAATGCCCTGCAGGGCAATTAGTGTGGCAAGCACAGGGCCATGGACAAGCCATGTTCTCCTGGTCCTTCTGCAGAGGAAGGCAGTGGCAAGATGGGGAGGCCAGACATTGGGGAATGCATGTCGGCAGGGAGGAACTCCAGCAGCACTGGCCATGGGAGCAGCTGTGCATGGTGCTCCTGGCTGCTCGTTGCTCCGTGCTGGAGTGGCGCACGGACAGCATGCAGGGCTTCACCACCAGAGTGAGAATCCCAGATAATCTGCATCTGCCAGGCAGGAGCAGTGCACACTGGAATTGATTCCCAGCCACGGGACTAATGTGACATGCACAGCCATTTGGAAGGAAGATGGAGGGGATTGGAAACTAGTACAGTAGTTACTACACAAATGTGTGAAGACAGGACAGAAGGTGAGATACCATGCCATGCAGTAACCATTTGCACTGTTGTAAATGAGAATTTTTCATTTACAGCATAAAACAGCATGATACCAGCAGAAGTTTGCAGGCTTGCACTACTCAAAAAGAAACAACTAAAAATGTGCCATATTTTCAGAAAACAGGATTGCCTTGTGAAGGGCAGAATGAACTGTGTTCCACTATCTTTAATGTTTGCTTTTAACCAACCCGATATTCAAACTAGTAACCCCCCCACCTGTCCTTGAGTCTGGAAATGCAGCAGCAAAGTTCCAGAAGCATTCTCTGTTCAGGAAACAAGGTACAGGGTTGGTGGATCAATATATTTGAGTAGGTACAACCAATCTAAAAATTGGGTACTCCCCACTTTAAGGATTTTCCCTGCAGCATTGGCATCCACAGCAACATTCTACCTGCCCTACAATGCTCTGAGGCCAATGGGGATAAGATGTGTTAGGGTAAAATACTAATATAGCACATTAGAATTAAGTATGATCTATAATAAAAGGCTGCAATGTGGGATATTCCTGTTTCAGCCAGCTAGGCTTTTTTCCAAGATATTCTATTCCAGTGCTTCCTCTCTGGCCCCACTTCACCCACTCCAACACCAATGTTTGGTCACTGAGCACACTGAGTCCTCAGTGCTGAGGTGTTTCTGGGTTACCTCTACCTCCTGCAAGGTGTTTTTCTTAAAAATAAGAAGTGCTTCTGAAAGTCTTGGGGCTTCCTGAGCGTGCTGCTAACACCTTGTTAGCAGGTAATGGATGCTGATTGCATGAAAATGTAGATAGCAAGTTTGCTCATAGCTTTCCATTTCAGAAAACTTTTGCTACCAACAATATTATTAACAACATTTTGTGAACAATAAAATCAGTATGAAAATAATATGCTAAATCCCAGCAGGAAGTTAAAAAATAATCCAGTAAATCAGTTGAAAAGCTTGAAGAAATTGTATTTATGTAGTAGCAAAATGTCATAAAGCAGTTATCCAGGAATTCCAGATCCTAGTATACAACAGAGAATGCCCTGTCCTGCATGCCCACCAACTACAAATTCCAGTGACAGGACAAAACTAAGGCCTTCACCAAGGATTTCAACAGACTAGAGGGATCATAAGGGAAAAGACTGTTCCTCAGCAAACAGTTCTAAACTGATTAGGGTTTTAAATGTGATGACCAGCACTTCAAGTTATGCTCAAAACTGAGAGGCAGTGAAACTCAAATAGCAGTACCCATATGATGCAAATAAACATACAAACAAAAAAAGGCCTAAGTAGACCAGCTGACGTAGCATTTTCCATCAATATTAGGCTGTTTATAATTCATGCTCAGGACCATCATATTTGAAGGCATGAAACAATTTAACTCTAGTCACCTTGACTAGACATCTATTTTTTTTTTCATCTTGCCCTATTGTGTGTGTCACAGTTTGATTGTTTGTGCCATCTGGGCTTATTGGAATAATTAGTCTATTCTAGCATAAAGCTTATTGGTCACTGCTGTGCTCTTCATCTGGTCTTCTGTAATCACTACTCCACTTGTCCCAAATCTAAATATTACTTTTACAATTACTATAATGCTACCCATTAGAATTTCTATAATGTACTATTCTTCTTTTCTCTTGAGAGGTAGGCTAGCCTGAACCACAATGACTTTTCCAAGGCTACTGACTGCCCAATTCTATGATTAGGAAACCTTGAATAAGCCCATTTATTTCACTGTACATATATGCATGCATATACGTGCATGGCTACATGTAGCTCACTGTTGCAACATCTTTAGCAGGTATGTCTCAATACAGCAGCTATATCTAAACAGTATAGAACAATGGGCAGGTTTGAGTCCTTCCTTTTTTAACTTTTATAACTCAGTAGTCTTGTTAGTCTTACACCCGAGCACATTTTTATAACCAGCTGCTGAGCAAACCGTGACAGCATCTTGCCACTTGCCTTTCTACTACAGGATGATGGCAGGCACACCTTCCCACATCCAAGAGCAGTTCTTATACTTCACCTAGGTTCTGTGGAAAAGATGAACTATGAAGTCCATGCGTTACAGAATTAAAATGAGCCACCCAGCAGCTTTCCCTGCACCTCAAAACTAAATTCCCAACTGAATTTCCCAAATGTGTCCTTTTTGGATCTTCCCAATTTTAAAGAAATTTGGCACCTTGTGCTGAGCACTTTTCCATTACTGAGATAAAACAGAAGGGTTTAAAATATATAAATACATATTTTTATTTTCAAAATGCTTTTCGTTCCTAATGAAAATAAATAGAAGAAGAACACAGTTTAAACTCTCTGGACGTATCTAGAGTCTTTCCTCTGATGGGGGGCGACTTCCCCAAAAGTGCCTTTGAACATCACCAGAATCATTTTTCTTGTCTTTTCTCCAGAAGACCATAATGACACAACGAAAACACCAAACATTCTTTCTCTTCTTTTTGGTCGCAGATCCTTCAGGAAACTAGCCAAGAAAATGAAATTCAGGTAGTTCTCTCTCCGACGTGCCAGAGGAAAACCGCCCACTGCTTATGTCCCCACGGGGGAAACTAAGTCAGCTTGGCAGCGCACCGGGTGAAGCCGGGCTCCTCGTAGGCCACGCTCCTTGGCGCCCGCCCGCCGCCATTATGTGCTAATTTAGCCCGGAGTTGCGCGACTCGGCTTCCCCGACTTTCCTCAGCCCGGAATAGCTCACCAGCCTCCAACGCCGCCCGCGCGTCAGCACGACTACCCGCCTTCCCCTTTTCTCAGTCGCTTCGTGCGCGCGCTCTCACCCTAGCTCGCTCCTCGCCCCGCCCCGCCCCGCCCCGCCCCCTCCCTGCTGCGCTTCGGGAAGCTCTCTGGACGGGCCGGCATCGCCTTCCCTCATTTGGGCGAGACCCGAAGCGACGTATGGAGAGCGGCGGGAGGTAGCAGGCTAGGCTGCGCCGGGTGCTGGGTTCATTTGGTTAGCTGGCTAGCTAGCTAGCTGGCTGGCTGGCGCGGGCGGGGAAGCTGGAGGAGGCTGCCTCGCTGGTGTTCCGAGCGCCTTCCTGTCATGGAGGAGCTGCGTTGGAAACGGGGCGCGGCAACGGCTTCGCTGGGAGAGGCGGCGCGGTGGCTGCTCTGAAGAGAGGGAGCTGAGTCGATCCTCCAGAGCGCTTCGGGAAGGTAGTTGGTCTCTCCGCTAGAGCCGCCTGAACAGAGAGGGAGAGGAAGGTCGTCTTCCCTCGTTGCCGGCGCCGCCGGCGCCTCTGCCCCTTCGCTCCCGCCCTGGCCTCCCTCACAGGCGTTGCCGAGCCCTTCTGCCTTCCGCGGGAAGCGAAACGGTTGGAGCGTCGGCTGAGGGAGGCGGCGCGGGTGGCGGGGGAATTATGCGGATCGTGGTCTGGGAAGAGCGCTCAGGCGAAGCGCTGTCCGAGAGCCAAGGTATCCTTGGGACCTCGGCACTGTCCTCCAAGTGTGTTTTTGGCCACGGGAGGCTTCCCAGGGGAGAAGTCAGGACAAAGGGGGCGGAGAAGGGAAGGGCGTTCTGGGCGGCTCCTTGTCCGTAACGATCTTGCAGATGGGGCGGGGGATGGTGGTGAAGCGAGGGATCGTGGGGCTGCTTCAGCTCCATGGATGCGTGTTGGGGTTTGCAGGGGGTGGGCAGGGAGAAGAATAGGATGGAATATCTATACCATCAACTAGAGGATGAAGGAATGGCAGGAGGAGAGGAAAGGAAATGCTTTCGCCCCTTAGGCGCCTGAGGGAGCCCTTCTCGCTCTTTTAGTCAGTCCTATGGCGCTGATGCTTTGGGCATAGCTTCGGATGCCAGCCACCCTGCCATAAAACTTCTTTCCTTGTTTGTAGTGATCAAGTGGTGACAGTCCAGTGTCAGCTACAGCTAGGTTCTTGGCCGAAAGGGTTGAACTACTGATGGGCTTCACAGGCATCATTGGTTGAGCATAGTCACATGTCCAGAGGTGACTAGAATAGTTTGCCCCTTGGATCCTGGCAGACAACCATGTTCCACATGATGCTATCAAAAGTCAACATATCTGGGGGGAACGTTTTTGGACCCAGCTGTATTTTCCTTTTGGGAGAGGAAAATTAATATCACACAAATGAGGAACAGTATAAGCTGAGGTGTAGATTTTGTTCTTGAGTTTAGAAATAAACAAAATTATTTGTTTAGAAATAAAAGAATAATCTTAACCCTTGTCTCTCCCTCACACCCTTCTAGGTTGGAGAGCATCAAGTTTGCTTTGAAAGGGCCTGTGTTAAAAGTTGATGCTGTACACAGAGATAACAGGGGGAGTGTGCAGTGACTGTCTCCAGCTCTGTGGTAGTTCCAGTTCCTTTGTTTGTGATTCTGAAGAACAAGGTGGATTAAGAGAAACAGACTAAATGGATCTTAAGACAGCAGTATTCAATGCAGCTCGTGATGGCAAGCTGCGGCTTCTCACCAAGTTGCTGGCAAATAAAACTAAAGAAGAGGTGGCCTTGTTGATGTCAGAAAAAACAAATGGTGCCACACCCTTACTAATGGCAGCTCGCTATGGGCATCTCGATATGGTGGAACATCTACTGGAACACTGCAGCGCCTCTATAGAAGTTGGTGGGTCTGTGAATTTTGATGGTGAGACCATTGAAGGTGCACCACCATTATGGGCAGCATCAGCAGCTGGCCATTTGAAGGTGGTCCAGTCCTTATTGAATCATGGAGCTTCTGTCAACAATACAACTTTGACAAACTCAACACCTCTTAGAGCTGCCTGTTTTGATGGTCACCTAGAAATTGTAAAGTACCTTGTGGAGCACAAAGCTGACTTGGAAGTTTCAAACCGTCATGGACATACGTGCCTTATGATATCTTGTTACAAAGGACACAAAGAAATTGCTCAGTATTTGCTTGAGAAAGGGGCTGATGTAAATAGAAAAAGTGTAAAAGGTGAGTTTGGTATCACTTGTCAACAGAATGTCTTTTGAAGAGTTTATCTGGAATATTAATCTGGTTTGACAGCTTGAAGTTTCTAAATTCAACAAAAGTAAGCTTGATTGTGTCTTTACTATTTATATATTCTGTATGTTCTTCAAGCAAGCATATAGGCTTAGCAAATTTCAATTTATAAAAGTCAGTGTTTTAAAAATATCATTCCATAGATTATGCTCTATTGATGTAAAGGATAAATTATAGAGTTAAGTTGTGCTTGTGAGGAATTTTTTAATGATGTGGCAGTACCTCCTTTTTGTAAAAGTAACATTGTATGGGAATTCAAATAGTTTTACTCATCAAATGGAGGAATTAATCACTATTGAGACTGAAAATACTGCACATTGAAAGGAAGTTGTATTGGTATTTTTTATACATCATCATTGCCACTGGGAAATATCTAACATTAGTTTGTCTTTGTGACTGGAATAATGAAATGTTAGAAAAAGACAGTGGCAATGTAATCACAGCAGAGGACTCTTTGTCCCAGTTGTGTACTGTGTTGTTGATAACAATTCTTCAGAAGAACATCACTGCAGTTCACACTGTGATTGCAGTTTTATTGCTTTTTGTTCTAATCATAGGTATGCTGTTGTTTTTAATTAGGCTTTTCCTTATATGTTACATTGTTACTAGTTTAGGAGGTATGTCCTTTGCTTCAGACCAGTGTTGATAGTCTGTCCAGCCTGTATCTGACTCAGATGCATTTGACCCCACCTTCCCTGCATGAAAACATTAAGTATAATAACCTGGGAGATTTAAGCATGTGCTAACACTTCTTAAAATCAGTGGAATTTAAATATTCTCAGTTTCGATTGGATCATCCCCATTGTATAGTAAGGCATTATATGATAATGTGTGTTCTTTGGATATTAAGATTGTGAGCAACTGAGAACACACTGATACAGCTATAGATCAAGAAATCTGGAGACTTGTTCTGTTGTGTATTCATGAAGCAGTCTCTGAACTTCCAATGTGTATGTGGTGAGGGAACAATAATAATGACTTATCTCATAGAGCAGAAGTATGCAGGTTTCAGGCTTATAAGATCTACTTTATTTTTACTGAAACCCTGAGATCCACCAACTGATAGAATAGCCTTAGAATTCAGGAATTCATTCTAAATATCAGAACTAAATGGAGCTCATCATAGTCCTTCCATATAAAAAAAGTTCCTGGTTACACCTGGCTTTCTTCATTTCATCCATTTAATTAGCTCAGGAGGGGAATCATTTTGATGTGACAGGTGTTAAACTGTTAAATCAGAGATCCTTGCTGATCTACTACATTACTACCCTTTTACTACCCCTGTAATAAGGTTTTGGTAAAAATTATAACAACCCTAAAGGGCAGTTATTGGGCAGTATCCAATTGGACAACTAGCACTAATGCAAATGACATTATGCCAGCAGGGATTCCCTGAAAAACTTGTTGCATGAGCTAAAGCTATTGGTGTTTTAGTAGAGGATCTTTTCCTCCTGACTGATTGAATACTATCCCAGGCTCTAAGCATGACGTTTATTGACCAGCTTGAACTTGCTCTGTAAACTTATAGTGTTGTCTGATTTCAGTTTGTTATTGAATGACTCATAACTGAAAAACAAGTTCTGTCCTTCAAGCAATGCGAAAGGAATTCTATTTTTATAAACAGAAGAAGCATGTTGCTTCCACTGGCACTTAGCAGCATAACCTAATCTTTTATTACATTATGTTAAATTCCCACCTTAACCAAAAAGTACTATACTAAATACACATAGATTCTTTTTACTAGTGAAGTGTCTGTATAAGTAAAACCATACAAGTGCAAACCCACGAAAATTTTAACAGTTGTATTCTTGAAGTCATTAGATAATGACACTGAGGGTTTATGGAAAAGGGAAATTCAGGAGTTTAACTACAGTATTTTTTCTCTGACTGATGGTAGAACCTTGAAAAATATGTACAAACAAAAGTAATTTTATTAAAAGTTGTCAGGTCATCAATTCTTCTTTTTACCAATTTTTAAGAGGTTATTCCTAAAAATATTCAGTTTATTGGCTTTATGTCCCCTACACTAACATGTGGCTAAGCTGGGAAATGTTTTTTGTGAGGCAGTTTATTGAACATGGCTTCCAGTTTTGGTCTTTGAGTTCTTTTGCCCATCTGTAGTTTCTAAACATTCGGTGTTCATTTGGCATTTAAATACTTTGATATGCAAATTATTTATATTTCGACACTATTTCTACCCTGCACTTCAACCAGACAAGGTTCCAAAGTGTTAAAAGGGCTCCCAGAGTAGCTTTTGATTGGGTGGGAATGTCTTTTGAGATTTCAGTTTCTACTTTTAAAAATCGTTTTAGGGTTTTGAAAGTGCTGCATTTGTCGCATAACAAGATATTCTGGATTCCTTCCTTCAAGCTTTTTGTTTCAAACTTTATATAGATTAACTTGTTTTACTATTATCTAGGTTTGGGTCAGTAACAAATATTTTCTAGTGGCTGTATTGGATAGGCTCAGGGAAGAATTCTGGGTTCTGCAGGTACATTTGAAGAAGCTTCAAGTTTAAGAAAATCTGCCTTTCCTCAAGCCTCATTAACCTCAGTGGGACTCATTTCTGAGTAGACATGTATATGATTATACTATAAATGTCTTTTCACATCTGAGAATAGCAGTTATTAGTACCTCAAAGAAATTTATCAAGAGTGATGAACTCTCCTGATATAATACCAGGGAAATATTTTTTGCATACATTTTCAGATAAGTGCTTTCTTTCTGCATGCATGTTTTCAACTATGGTAATACTAAGAACAGCAGCACTTTCTGTCAAGGGTTTTCTATTTTGGGCAGTTTTCTCTAAAAACATGAAGATTACGTTGGTAAGTGCATGGAGGAGCAAGCTTGCTGAATATGTTCCTGGTAGACTTAATCCTATATTTTTAAAAAGATAAGTTTATTACATAAGAACACTTTTAATATCTTTGCCTGTAGTATAGCTTATTCTGTAGTGTGACATAACTTGTATATTTATATATGAAAATAAATGTAATATCTTGGAAATGAGGCAGGTAACCTTTCAGAGTGTGTATGAAGGAACACTGTCCAGCATATTCTAGAACAAGCAGAAGATTCTTGTGAATCCCCTCTTTGTTAATCTTAATTTGTATATATAACTTTGCCACAATCAGGATTCACTATTGTTAATTATGATTATTACTTCAGAGTTGCACATGGCAATATATTCACTCAGAAAAGTTAAGCTTTGTAAGCTTCAGGGAAAAATTATTCAAGGAGGGTTTAGAAAAGGTTATACTGCCACTGCATTTAAAACATCTAGGGAAAACAGCAAAGTGTGAGGTTACATGTGGAATTTCCCAGCTTTTGTGCAACTAAGGCAACACATTTTCAGTACAAAGCTAAGAGGTACAAATATATACATCCCAATCCTATGGATGCTTACTCAGAAATAAGCCCCCTGAGTTTAAAGTGGCTTATTAGTGGATGGTACCTAGGGCTATAAACCCAAGCATACAACTCTACCACTGCACAAGTGGAAGTGTGGTCTGGTAATATGTATACTAATTAAATCTTTAACAACACAATTATGTAAATGTCTATTCATAATTAAGTTCCAATAGGATTTACTCCTAAGCAACTGTGTATAGGACTGGACTCTAAATAACTAAACAAGGAAATACAGTGGTTCAGAAAGGATGTGATGAACCTATGAATTAGGTTTTTACAGAGTTAGAACTAAAATGTGTATAATGCCTGTGATAAGAATAAGGGCACAATCCTGTGCCTGTTTTCAGACAAGCACGCAACTTGCAACATGGTCCATCTGGAGCATGTTTACAACCTTGATTATGAAACCCTATGGGCATTAAATAGACATGATTGTGAGTCATAATTCACTACTTTTCAGTAACCATCTTGAATTGCTTAGTGTAAACAAAGCAGAGATGTTTATAGAAGATACTGAGGTAAAATACATAGCCATTTGAAAATGACAGTGGGGAGCTGATAATGTCAAAATAATCTATTTTAAATCATTGAGGTTTTACCCTTTCATGTTGAAGGTTCTATCTAACTGTAGATAAAAAATACACACTTTTAAAAAATACATACGAAAAGCACATCTGAAAGGTTTTCTTTTTTAAATCTGGATTTCATATGCAATTTCCAGTGCTAGTAGAGTCACTGTTTTAATGAGTAAACATATAAGAAAGTGGTTGGTTTAAGGGGCCTTAAATAACCTCCCTGTACAAGGAAAGCCATTGCACAGTATCCTTTTTTAATCCTGCCTTGTGGTGAACTATAAATAGCAGGAAGGAATTGGTTGTAGCTTTTAATAAAGAATAAGGACAAATAACTACTTGCTAAAGGGATATGACACCATAGGTGAATCCAGCTACCTGTAAAGATATTCTGGTGACACGGCCTAATATCTTAGATGGTGTGCCCAGTGAGTGGGCAAGTTTCATTTCTGTAAAATGCCAAGCTATTAGAAAGGAACCAAGGCTATAGTTCTTAAGTGAAATATTGGTTGTGCTGCACCACTGTCCAACAATACCTTCCCAAATTGGATGTAGAATATGATCCTGTCATAGTGCTGCTATCTGCTTCATTGTTAGGGAACTGTACATTTGCAGCTGTACATGTGCTGGATGTTGTATGATGTTGCATTCATAAGTGTATGAAGTTGGATTTAGAGGAAGTGAGACAAATTACTCTAATTGTCTGGTATTTCAGTTTTTCCCATTTTTTTCCAGTGAATTTCAGCTATCCTGACTTTGGTTTCCCTAACTTTACTATCCTATTCAGTGTTTTCCCAATTATCTTACCCTGTCTTCCCACAAAGATTTATCTGTCTTTGGGCCCCATATGAACAATTTCCTAAACAGATATTTCACTTTGCTTGTGGAAGTAGCACTGTTCACAGACATGCTTATGTTGGAAGTTTTCAGATTGTTTGGTTGTTCAAAACGTTATGTGACCTCATAGCAAGTCATTCTAGTGGTGGGACAGGGTGGCAGGCAATACCCTTTTTGTGAGTGGGTTTGGTATATACATAGAATAGTTTTCATTGCCAGATCAATATGATATTTAAAAAGAGATCTACCAAGAAATGTATTCAGGTTAACAGAGCAGCTTGAGAAATTTGTAGCTCTCTAGATGTTTTTCAACTCCAACTCCCATTAGCTCCAGCTAGCATGGCCATAGTGTGGAATGCTAGGAGTTGTAGGCCAGTAATATTGGAGCAGTCATAGTTTCATTACCTCTGCATGGGAGTAACAATGACAGGCTGCAATCATCAGTGTTTACTGTTAAGTAAGTTCCATTAAATACGGGACATTTTAGAGTACATGTTGTATGGCACATCCCTGTCATCATTTGCCGTCAGTGGGGACACCCACAAATTGACTTGTTTGCAAATGAGTCCTCAAATTTGCTGTTTCAGTTGGCAAGCTGCTATGTTGCCCATGAACATATGTTTTTGTGAGGGAATGTGCCATCTTGGTATTTCAAAGGGAATGTACTTGGAATTGAGCTGCTTTGACTGTTTTAACAACAGTATATATGGTTATTAGAAATAATTATTTTTTACCTGTCATTTCAGTTGTCAAATTAGATCCTGATATTAGGGAAATTCACCAGTTTGCAATTTGATGTTGCAAACTGAGGCAGTTGCCCCTGAGCAGATCTGCTTGCAAAGAAATGTCTTAGCCCATCATGTCAAGTGGTAGGTTGGAATATTTCGCTATCAAAAATCCTTTTGCTAGTAATCGCCCTGTTTGTCTCTTGCCACAATACAGAAAGTTGCTTGCTGGACATTAACTAACTAACTAACTGCTCTGACTGCAAACCGACAAGGAGTACTGGGAGTTTGTGATTTCGTGACAGAGCAAAACTATTTTGTAATATAATGTTCTGTTATGATATCTACAGAACTCTATGATAGTCACTAACATGGCCTTGGCGAATGTGGTCCTCCTAGAGGAATTTGATTGGCTGACAAAAGAAAGTCTTGAACAGAATGGAAAATTAGAGACAATAATTTTAAAATACTCCACCATTCAGCACTATAAGACTCAACTATCTCTATGCCATAAAACTTCTAATTTTCTACTTCCTGGAGTAAAATAAGCATTGCTCACCGGTTCTTAAAATATGTAAGATACTCTCTTCCCGGATAACCCAACATTATTGCTTTACTTTCACTTTACTTTACAACATTTACTGCAGCCTAAAAGTTGGCTGCAGTACAAGGCTGGTAATTTTCCTTAAATGCAAATACAAAGGTTATTCTAGTTATTAATGAAAGATGTTTCTCTTCTGACATGTTAATGTCATTTTGTCCATTTACACACCTACTTAGGATGTATAACTTTATTCTTGTTCTTTCAAAAACTAGGTTGCTAGATAATATATTTGACATATGTACAGACATTCTCCTTAAATAGATGTTTATAGTAAGTGTAATGTTGTTCTGGTAATGTATCATAGCCTACGTGATCATTGCTTTTTTTTTCCATAGGAAACACAGCATTGCATGACTGTGCAGAATCTGGTAGCTTGGAAATCATGAAGATGCTTCTCAAATATAGTGCAAAGATGGAAAAAGATGGTTATGGAATGACTCCTCTTCTCTCTGCAAGTGTTACAGGCCACACAAATATTGTTGACTTTTTGACCCAGCATGTTGAAACAAGCAAAGCAGAACGCATCAATGCACTGGAACTCCTTGGAGCTACATTTGTGGACAAAAAGAGAGATTTGCTTGGCGCTTTGAAATACTGGAAAAGAGCTATGGATATGAGGTACAGTGATAGGACTAATATCCTCAGCAAGCCTGCACCTCAAATGTTAATAATGGCCTATGATTATGCCAAGGAGGTAAACACTACTGAAGAGTTGGAGAACCTGATCGCAGACCCTGATGAGATGAGAATGCAGGCACTGTTAATTAGAGAACGTATTCTTGGCCCTTCTCACCCAGATACGTCCTACTATATTCGGTACAGAGGTGCTGTTTACGCTGACTCTGGAAACTTCAAACGATGCATCAATCTGTGGAAGTATGCTTTAGATATGCAGCAGAACAATTTGGACCCTTTGAGCCCTATGACTGCAAGCAGCCTGCTATCCTTTGCTGAACTATTCTCCTTCATGCTGCAGGACAGGGCAAAAGGCCTGTTAGGCACAACAGTCACATTTGATGATCTTATGGGCATACTGTGCAAAAGTGTCCTCGAAATAGAACGTGCTATCAAGCAAACTCAGTGTCCTCCTGATCAAATACAGCTCAACAAAGCCCTTTCCATCATTTTGCATTTAATTTGTTTGTTGGAAAAAGTTCCTTGTAGTCCTGAGCAAGATCATTTTAAGAAACAGACTATATATCAATTTCTTAAGCTTCATCCTAAAGGAAAGAATAACTTTAGCCCACTCCACCTTGCTGTCGACAAGAATACCACGTGTGTGGGGCGCTACCCAGTTTGTAAATTTCCTTCTTTGCAAGTCACTGCTATATTAGTGGAATGTGGTGCTGATGTAAATGCTAGAGACTCTGATGACAACAGCCCTTTACACATATCTGCACTGAACAACCATCCTGATATCATGAATCTTCTTATCAAGTCAGGTTCACACTTTGATGCAACAAACTTGCATAAACAAACTGCTATTGACTTGCTTGATGAGAAGGAAATGGCAAAAAACTTGATCCAGCCCATCAACCATACTACACTGCAGTGTCTTGCTGCCCGTGTAATTGTGAATCACTGTATAGGTTACCAAGGGCACATCCCAGAGAAACTTGAGAACTTTGTTTTGCTCCATAGATGATAGTCTGACAATAGGTCCTTGGTACTGTGGGAGCATGAGTTAGTAACGTTAACTGTTGCTTTCTCAAGTACTGTTGTGATACGCCAGCGATACACCATCATTCATTCAGTTTGGTCCATCCTACTCATTGGCTAAAGCATTATTAGAATCTGATCTGCAGAATTGGCTACCCAGTATTTAAAACAAACATACCATATAATATAGTTTGTGGATTATTTAGAAATGTAACACTATATTCAGACTCACTAAAAATTGTCTGCCAAAGGCTTGTCTATTCTGATTTAGTTTGCCTGTTGGTTGTTTGGGACTGAATTGAATAATTTTTGTGGTGTTGTCTTTATTCTTACTGGTGTGTGGATTTTATATAGTTGGGAAGTCATCTTTTTGTTCTTGCTTGAGCATTTCTACTTTTTTCTTTTTTTCTAATGGGTTCATTGCTGAACAATACAAGTTGTATGAACTTGTTAACATTTGCAATTACCATAAGTGCTTTTATCCTCTCTATGCACTGGCTTGAACATGACTGTTTGTGTGTTGGCATATTTCTATGCATCAGTTGGCCATTTTTAGCTCTGATACTGTTTTCTTGCAGTTTGTTAGAGCTCTTTTGAGAATACACCCTCTGCAAATTCTTAAGGACATCAGTCAGCTGTCCAAATGCTCATTTGACTTTTCACCTTTTAGCTGTTTCTGCGATTGCTTTCTATTGATTTATTTTTAGAGTTGCGTGCTGAATTTGGGAGTAAAATGTGTTCTTGTTGGCAAATCCACTTTAAATTAAGTCTAAAGTTATTTTACTATGTCTTGCTGAAAGTGGAGAAAGGTAATGAATCGCTGTCTTCTCCTCTGCACTAGTGTCTTGCTTGAGCTGATTGTGTGACTAGGCATAGAGAGTTTTTTCAAATTTAACCTGAAACTTAATCATACAATTCTGTGAGAAGAACTAGATCAAACATAGTCTGAAATTACAACTCAAGATTCTTAGCTACAAAAGAAACTAAAGCATGTTGGCATGATGCTTGTCAGTCCAGAACTAGCCATCGACTAATATAATACTCTGTAATTGATAGCCCTCTGCAAGGGCATCAGAAGTTTAGTAGTATCCTCTCTTCTTCATTTTAAAATAACTTACAGAAAATTTGCATGCATTTTATTCTCTAACACCTTTCAGCCATATTTATGGTAACATCAGAGGCTGTGCTAAGAACATAGCCTACACTGAAAGCTGTCTATTTTTATAATACTTGCACAACAGCTTAGCTATTGCAGCAGAAAGGGCTTTTTAGACTTGATGAGGAAACCATAAGTGAAGACTACAAATGAGATTAAGATTCAGGTAATTAATATAATTCAGCACTTTATTGTTGATTCATAATGAACTTATTATGGCATATAAGACCTGCAAATGTCTTAAAATAAAATGGTTCTCAAGAAAAACAACAACTCATTTTTCCTTGAGTGGAAAATAGCTGGTTCTACAGCCCAGTATATTGTATCTTTTGCAGTGCCATTAACTGAATATCTTCGTTTATGATACTACCTAATGCCTTTTCCATTCAGAGATGCAACCCAGAGGTTACTATGATAATACAGGAGAAATTCAGAACCAAGTCAGTAGTTCAAAGCTGGTATGAATCTGAAATTCAAGATTAAAAAAACCCTGCAACACTTTTGCCTTTAGTTGATTATTTGAGTTCATTGTGTATATTTTTACAGTTCATATAAACTAGTAATCACACATTAGTTTTTGTATGTTATGTCATTGGACCAGCATGGATTACTATTACAAGAATACTAATGAACCTTGGTCTTGCATTTCTTCCCCAATTCTCTTCCTTCTTCATATATGAGGGAAGGAGAATGAAATCTCCAGTTTGTTTTGAATAAATCACATTTTCTCTTATATACAAATTTAGGAAACTGATTTATTCAAACTGTGGTTATTTCAAGTAAACAGAGATTAAACTGTGGTTTCAGATCCTTTTAAAAAAATATAACCGCAGGTATTTTCACCATTTTGGGTATAAAGAGAATGAGTGATTAAAATGGTTAAATTGTTAAAAACTGAAAGAAGTTTTCAGTCTTCTTATTTCACATGGAGAGGAAGAGTGGGGAAAGAACAATATGTGAGTCCATCTAAGATTGCTATAGCTCATTAATGTTACATCATGAATTACCATCACCTCTGAACCCCAGGCCACGTTCTTAAGTGTGTGTTTTAGAGAAATGACTTCATTATACTGAGAAAGACATGAGATACGTACATTGCTATTTGATGAATAATTTTAAATATGGCAAGAAATACATACCAACATTTTTTGCTCATAACCACTTCCCATAATCTGATGACTTATCAAAAGTGCATAGAAAATTGCATTCACAAGTGTATAACAGAACATTTATTTTAGGTGTTTTCCTTTACAGTGGTTAAATTACATTCATATTTATGGATCAAAAACCCTAAATATTTTGAAGACAATGTTGCATTTCCTATTGCTTATCTATTCTGCAAGTAGACAATATGGATTTATATGCTAGTAGCAAAAGACTTAACCTATTTTAATCCAAAAATAAGACATGAGAGGAACAAGGTGTTTTATTTTACTTTGTAATGGTATTCTGACACTAGTTAACCTCTGGAGATGGGGACACCCCTGGCTTTTTGAATACACATACTTCAAAATATTTTCTGCTGATAGGTAACATAATTAGCATTTTAGAAAACCTTTAGCAGATAATTAATGAAAAGTAAAGCTTTTGTATACGTGACTTCTTCCTAAGGCTTCTCCATTCTGACCAGCATTACTTCAATGGCAAATCTCAATTTTAAATTTACCCTACAAATTGTCCACACTTCCAAATTCAGCAGTTGGAAACACAAAATTCAGTTTTCTTATGTTCCTTGCTTTTATGCTGAGTGAAAGCCTTCATAGCCTTCTGACAATATCTCTTTCTCATTTCAATATAGTTAAAACATCATTTTAAAACATCATTTCTCCCCCTTATTACATTGTTGTGAAACCCTATTTGAGAATTTAGTATATATTTCAGGAAAACAGTACCTGTATTCAAAGAGATAAAGGAAAAGGTATCATTATTATTCATTTCTGTCTCTTGACTTAATTCCTCCTATTCCTCATCTTTACATATTTCCCATTGTATAGGAATATTTGGCATTTGGGCACTAACAGAACAGTGTCTTGTTAACAGTAATTTGACAGCTGGTGAGCACGCAAAATAAATGCATTCTTACTTGGCATTAACTAAACATAGCAGTGAAAATTTCAATTTAATTTGAGAACAAAAAACCTGGGACTTGCACATTTTGGAGATAAAAGTTTTGAATTAGCAACCATCATTGCCAAGTTTACTTTAGCAGACAATATTGTTACTGACTCTGGCACTCTGTATGGGCATTTAATTCAGCAGTCTGAACAGAACCCTAAAACATTACTTTTCAGTTAAAGACACAGCTCTCATAAGTACAGACACAGCAACTCAAAAGGCTAAGCAGTTGTAATTTCATTGTATCTTAACCACTAGCCCTTTCTGATAGGTTCTGCCTTGCTGATTAGTTGGTATTTCTTGCATTGTTCCCTTTTGCACTACCTAACCTTTTCAAACGGTGCTGTACAGAATTCAAAATACTACAGTCCTTTGCTCATCTAAACACATTGCCAAACTGCAAATCTTCTGAAGGATGCAGAATAGCTGCATTTGCATTACTATAATAATGCAGATACTTATGTTTATGGTTGCAGAATTTGAAAGATTTTACATGACAGGATACGATAGACACAACTAGCCTACTAAAATCTTTTATGCCTTTTCCCTTCCTAGTATGTATGATTTACTACAATTTAAACAAATAGAACAAGATGAAATCATTTCGTTCCTTACAAGTGCATCACAGTTAACCTTGAACAAGTTTCTCAATTTGTCATTTTAGGAATAACTGGTTAGATTTAAATAAGTTTATAAACAGAACACTCAGGGTTGTGTGTAGATATACTAAAATTATCCACGTTTTGTACTAAGACAAAGTTTGCAATGTAAATAAATGTAATAATTCTGCTTCTGCTATCAGTTTGTGAGAGACCAGAAATTACATCCACCGTTGATGTTTTACCTTGGATTCCTATTTGCAAGCTGTTTCTATAGTTACAAGAGCTATAAACTTGATTCACAGGATGGTGAGCACTATAAATACTACACATTGTGTGATGACGGATACATAGAATACACTGGAGGTCTTTCTATTGGAAATTAGGTTGGTGGTGTTTTCCATGGCAATGCTGATATTTGAGGATTGAAGCATCTTTCAATACTGTATCTGTTTCAAAATCAGTGGTGTGTGATAAATAATGACACTGCTGGCTACAGAAAGGAAACTTCTTCCATCCTCAGTGCAAATCCCATGGATTAGTCCCATGGATTCAGTGACATAACATTAGAGCACATCATCTGTGGGGTATACGATTTCTTTTCAGCACGTTTATCTTCTCCATAATGGTGACAAACTAATGTTAGTGATTAGGACATTTTCTGGAAGGTTAGATAGAAGTATAAAGAAAAGTGTCATACCATGTGTATTTATTTATTTATTTATTTATTTATCTGTCGATTCATATCTTGCCTTTTTCCTACAAAGGGCTCAAAGCAGCTTACATCATTCTCCTCCTCCATCTTATCCCCACAACAACAACCCTGCGAGGCAGGTTGGGCTGAGAGTCTGTGACTGGCCCAAAGTCACCGAGTTGGCTCTATGGCTGAGTAGGCTTCCCCAGGTTGGTGGCTTCCCAGTGTTTTCGACTTAAATTTCCCTCAGCCCAAGTCAGCATAACCAATGGACAGAAAGGTTGAATTGCAGTCTGAAACATCTGGAGGACACCAGTTTGAAGAAGACTAATGTAAAAATTCTAGTAATTATCTGATGTACAGATACTTGATTGATGGACAAAGAACTCAAAAGGTGAGAGAGTTTTTCCATAATCACATACAAGCTTACAAATAGTTACTTAGAGGCTCAGCCCACTCTTGTTCAGCCTGCTCCACGGGCAGCAAGAAGTTCCCAGTCAGTTTTACAAAATTCACTTTATTTGCAGGGAGATGGTAGAAGATAGGCATTTTAAAAATCTGTTTATTACAAGTAAAAGCTAATGGAAAGTTGTGCTAGTTGTAAAGAAGCACCAATCCACTTAAAGCAAGAGCATGCCTTTAGTTCCCTGCGGCTGGCTCTTGCCACAGAAAGTGTTCAGTATGATTTTTGTACCCAAATTCTACAACTTTCTTCACACCTCCCCTTTATATAAGCCCAAATCTATTTCAAACCCTCAGGCAGGCAGGATGTCATTCATTAGAACCTGCTATTAATTGCTAAACTATGCTTAAAGGGAAACTTAGGCATGGCCTATAACAATATGAGAGGATGTATGTTCTCCACCATATCAGCATTTTAAGAGCTGCAGGGAACTCAGCTGACTGTGAAACAGTCATGGGAGTTCGCTGATACGAGTATAATTTTCTTATGTTCTTGCATGCCAGTAAAAACATGACAATCTTCAAAAAACCCATGCTGGTCTCTTAGGTGACAATCATATGCCCATTTACCTGAGAGTAAAACTTATAAATAGGATCAGCTTCTGTGTAAATATGTGTAAGATTGTGGTGTTGAAAACACTTTAGTTCCTTTTGATCAGATTGGTACAGCAGAAACCCCATATCTGTGAGAACAAATGTTGTATTATGACATTATGAAAGTGTGTTTTTATTAGTGTATGGATTTTTTAATGTGGATGATAAGAAACATAGACACCTGGAACACTAACTGTTGAATACCCTTCCTAAAGAAATGGACCTTCAATCAAAAATAGCAGGGTTTTTTTAAACTGTTGTCACAGTCAGAATTCTAGCAATTTTGGTTTAGTGAGAAGTGCTGAGACTTCTTTGCTAGAATTCTGACTTGAAGACCATGTTGTAGCAGGAACCTTTGAATAACCGCTGCCATCACCTCCAATAGCACCACCAGATTTACCACCAGGAGCAGTGGTGGAAGTGGAACTACCAAAGCACCTTTGCGCTTATTAGCAGGAGCGAGTGCAGCATGCTGGGGCGAGCTCTTGCGAGGCTGCCAGCCCGACCCGCTCTCTGCCTAAGCCTCAGGAAGAAAGCAGGACAGGACAGCGGCGTCAGAGAGCCAGCCGCAACCATGCCTGTACCATTGCTGGGATCTGGACTGGGTGGGACAGGAGGCTTGGAGCTCTCTGCAAGCCCCAAAAAGAAGTTCAAAGAGCCACCTGCAGCTCCTGAGCCTTGGTTTGGCCCCTCCCTCTGCTCTATACCATATACCTTTATTTTTTAATAATTTCATTTGTTCTTACGTCAGCATATGATTTTTCTTTCCCTATACAATCAGGAATCTTTGCTTACAAGAAGCACTTTATGACTTCCTGTGGCACCTTATGGAACTTTACTACTTAGAAATTTCTCCATGAAAATTTATTTGGTGCTATATATTGACATTTGTAGGAATGGCTTTCATATCTGCCAAAGCTTATATGCTTTGCATCTATTGATATGTATAGCTTCAAAAAGTCTGTGGAGAAAATGTCTGCCTGGAGATACTGTGCCGGACTGAACTCTCTAACTTCAGTAAGACCATTGACCAT